CTCCCTCACGGCGACAGGCCCACGCACCACAGTGCCCCGTGGGCAGCGGGCAGAGCGGGAGGTGGGGAGCTGGGTTGCTTTTCCGTTTCCTTCTTCTGGTGGAAGCTTCTCGCTGTCTCCTCTGCTCCGACTAACCCTCCGTCTGCCTTCTCTGTCGCTTCCTCTCCTGCCTCTCCAGATTTCTCTTCTTTAACTTCCTGCATTAACCCTGGGCCGGCGGTTCCTACGCCCCGAGGCTCCCTTGCCTCCCCCAGCGGCACTCATGCCCACTCCTGTCTTGTGCTTTATCCTGCCCGCTCCCCGCCGCCTGCCCGCCCGCCCGCCCGCCCGCAGCAGCGACGAAACGTCCATCTGAGGAGCCTGGGCCTTGCCGGGAGGGCGCCCACCCCACCCAAGGCCACCTAGTGCCAACTCCCTCTCCCACCCGCTCCCTCACTGCACTTTGGACCCCTGGGGCCAACATCTCCAAGACAAAGTTTTTCAGAAAAGAGGAAAAAAAAAAAAAAATTTAAAAAGGATCTCCACTCTCATGACTTCAGGGATTCATTTTTTTTATACGCTGGAAACTGACTCCCCGTTCCCTTCCCAAAGAGGATAGGACCTCCAGGAGGCGCCCCAGCCTCTCCTCGGTTTCCCATCTGCTGTGCCTCTGGGAGGAGAGGGACTCTGGGGGGGCCTGCCCCTCGTTCGCCATCACCAAAAGGAAAGGACGAAGCCACACCCAGGGCACCAAGCCCCGCCGGCCGCCCCGGTGGCAGGCCTCAGGCTGGCGAGGGCGCCTCACCCCCCTGTGCCGCCCTCCCAGGAACTGAAGAAGCCCGTCTGGAGAGGGAGCCGCAGGACTCCGTGCCCCCAGACCCCCAAATGCTGCATGAACACATTCTGAGGGGAACCCGTGCCCCGGGCGGCGGCCGGGCCACCCCTGCTCCTCTCCTTGTCCTGGACGCTGGCCATCGCTGCAGCCCGGGCTCTCAGTTCGCTGACCCGAAAGTGCTTCATTTCCCTGCCAGCCCCGCAGCCTGCGGGGAAGGCCAGTCACGTTCAGTTGCGCTTCTTTGCTGTCGTGTGAGTGGGACGGGGAGGAAGAGGGAACTGGGGTCCTCCCAGGATCAGACAGAGGACCCCCCTCAGCTGCTGTGGCCTCTGAGACATGCTCTAGTTTTAACCCCTTCTGGGAATTGGCTCTCTTCTTCAAAGGACCAGGTCCTGTTCCTCTTTCTCCTCCTCCTTCCCCCGCCCCAGCTCCCTGAGAAGAGAGAGTTAATATATATATATATTTTTATTTATTTGCTTTTTTTTTTTTGGGTGTGTGCTGGGATGGGTTTGTGTTCGGTCCCAGGGGGTCTGATGTGGCTGTTACAGGTTGGGTGTGTACCCAGTAGTCCTGGCACGGGGCCCGAGGCCCTTCCCCTCGCTCCAGGCTGTCACCTCCCTGCCCCTCTTCCCCCTCCTCAGTTTTGCCAACTGCTACTCATGTGAGTCACCGTTTATGCTAAGCATGTAATCCAGACTCGTCATGGACTTGCCTCTGGAGCAGGTGAAAAAGCTCCCGTTTCCCACGTGTAAGGCTGGTCTCTGGCTTTCCTGCCCCGGTTTCTCCCTTCTCCCCTCAGAAATTCCCGCAAAGGGTTCAACATGTCACTGGTTTTCACTACTGATGACTTGACTTAAAAAAATACAAAGATGCTGGATGCTAACTTGACATTAACCATCAGATTGTACAGTTTGTTACTGTAAATATTGTAGGGTTTTGTGATTTTTTTTTTCCATTTTCCCATACTACTGAATAAACTAGTTCTGTGCGGGTTGAGCACTGTCATTATTGCTTCGGTGTGATGCTCATCCTTCTGGCCTTTAAGAATAAGAGCAGGCAGGACCAGGAGGTCAGGAATCAGATAACAAGTGGCTGGGGTGAGCTAGATTAGCTACCAATATCCCATCATGCTCCCCAAATAGCCTCATCAACACAAAACTCATGTCCCGGCATTCCCAAGGAAGATGTGGCGGGAAAGTACCATTTTCTCGAGAAGGGACTTTTGTAGCTAGAGAGGAGGCTACACCCAGCGGGCAGGTTTCCAGCCCAACCCCCACCCCAGGGCTCGCATCCTGTGGGCAGAATTCAGGAGACAGGGAGGGTGGTGGGAATTTCGAGGTGCTTAGTGACCGAGTACCTCCTAACGCTGCTTCTCTGGGCCATTCTGTGTGTATATTTCCCAATGGGAATGAAGCAGCTACTCACACTTCAAGCCAACTATGTCCTCTGCCAACATGTCTTCTGACCCCAAGTTTATGTTTTTCAGAGGTTTAACAAACTAGGTAGGGGGCAATTAAGGGTAGTGATTAAGAACATAATCCTAGGCCCTGATTGGATAGCTCCCTTGGTTAGAGCATTGTCCTGATATGCCAAGATTGTAGGTTCGATCCCCAGGCAGAGCACATACAAGAAGCAACTAATGAATGCATGGGTGCAACAGATCAGTGTTTTTCTCCTTTCTCTGTCTCAAGTCGATAAATAATTTTTTTTTTTTAAAGAACACAAACCCAAGAACTGAATTGAGTGACTTCATCTCTCAACCTTAGTTTCTCTGCCTGCAAAATGAGGATGATAATCACTTTTGCCTAGTTGCGCTTTTATGAGAATTAAATGAGTTAACACACATAAAGTGCTTAGAACAGTTCCCAGTGCATACATAGCAAGAGGCCCATAAATGGTTTCCCTTGTTACCACTGGGTGGGGGCAGGGTGGATGCACAGAGAAAAATAGAAAGACCAAAGGGGAGGAAGCAAGCAGGTAGCTGACCAAGGACTGCTGTGGCAGGCAGGCCTCCTCCCTAGTTGGCACTGCCTACTGCATGTTGTTCAAGCAAGTTTTGGAGGGGAAGGGGGTGAGGGTGGGTATAAAACTCAGAACTGACCAAGAGGGCCAGAGGAGCATGCTGTGTCCTCTCTGACCACCAGGTGGCAACAGCACATGGGTTTGCTGCTGCTTTTGCTTCTGAGAACCCACCATGGCTGGCCCACATCCAGGTCACACCTGCCCTTTGCTGGCCACAAGTACTCCTATGTGTGCGCCTAGGCTTGCAATCTTCCAGTGCTTTCGTCAGAGCAGGTAGTGAGGAACACACCCTGTTCACTAGACACCAGTGCGGGACCCAGCTGGGAAACACACGTGGTGTTCCGGCCTTGACCAAATTTCTCCAGAGTCAAAGGCTCAGTGTGTCTCCACACCTCCTCCCCCAACTCAATTCTGGGAATCCTAGAGTTGCAAGAGTTGTTGCAAGAGGCTGAGGGAAAGGTGAATGTCTGGACAGCTGTCACTGTGACAGAGGTCAATGTGTGAAAAGAGCCTGAAGATCAGTCATAAAAAAGGAGAAGCAAGCAGCGGAGGGCCCCTGGCCTGGGAACAGAAAAAGGGTGCTCCAATACCTCAGTTGGGCACTTATGTGCATATAAACTTGGGTGGGGTGGGCACCAGCTGGCATCCACTTCCTTCACCCAATTGCCTGTTGCTTCAAGTCATGGCCTGGCCTTCAAGAAGGGGCATTCTCTCAAAACTCACAAGGAATGGAGTTGCTTCTGGTTGCAAAATCAAAGGCTATGAGAAGAGGGAGACTATTAAATCTGCTACAAATGAGTCTTTGTCCTTCATTGAACTACTGCCCCTCTTGCTCTCAGATATCTTTTTCAGTAAAGGAATGAAATTCTCCGCCACAGACAACTCACAACACTGGGGGCTGCAGGGGCTTATACATTCTTGTGCCAGCCCTGGAGTCCAGTAGCGATAAGAGGAGACGAACAATCCTAAAGAAGTAAAGGAGATTGTGAAGTGTCCCTGGTATCTGCTGCCTGAGCAATCAGGGAGGCTGAAGACTCCTAAGTGCCCCTCAACCCCTAAGTGCAGCAGACAAGATTCTGCTCCATTCTCTTGCCGTGAAGGGACACCCAAGTCTAACTTATAAATACTTGCCCTAGCTGGTTTGGCTCAGTGGACAGAGTGTCGGCCTGTGGACTGAAGGGTCCCTGGTTCGAATCCGGACAAGGGCACGTGCCTGAGTTGTGGGCTCAATCCCCAATGAAAAGTGTGCAGGAGGCATCAATTCTCATCATTGATATTTCTCTCTCCCCCTCTTCTATTTACTTGAAATCAATACAAATATATTTAAAATATAAGTACTTTACCACGACCCTGACTTGACAGCCTCACACACTGTGAGTTAAGCTATACTTAACTTGACCTGGACCTTTTAATAACATTCAAACCCTGGGAAAAGGCAGCCTGCTCCCGTCTAATACCACGAGGGGGTAGTTCCAGCCCCATTTGCTGGAAGCTCGAGGCCCTGGGGCCTATTCAGGCTCCTCCGCCTGGGAAGTCCATCCTGGCTCCCTCTTTGGAATCACACAGGCGTTCACTCCAAATGTGTTAGGAACCGCAGCAGGATTTGCTTTCACACATGCAGAGAATATAAAAATACACTCACTTTATTTTAGAAAAGAATAGACCAAAGGAATCGGCTTATAAACTGGCCTGTTACGATTCACAGGAAGCACGTTCCAGAGGCCAGGTGCCTGCCTCTGCTTCGCCACAGGCCGGAGTCCAGTAGGGAATGTGCTTCAGGAGGGCTGCTCCCGAGAGAGCAGGGAGGTCAGCTACAGAGGCCACTCCCATGTAAATGCCCATGACCCGCGGCCTGGGGGTGGACACAGAGTCGGGGAGTGGATGAGGACAACCCACCCCCCTGCATTTCTCTTCTGTGCGTTCATTTCACTGCTGGGAGGGGACCTCTTTCCCTCACATTCCAATCCGGAGAGTTTGAATCCCTCCAGCTCAAACCTAAGCCACCCCATCTCCCTGGGGCACCAGCCCCGGTGCCATCTCTTCCTCTTGCCCCTGAGCCAGGATCTGCAGGAGTCCAGAAGGGCTTAGGAGGCCGGAGAGGAGTGAGTCCAGGCAGCGACTGTAATGGTTGGTTACTGAATTCTTGCTTGCTGTCCTGATCTCTTTACCTAAAGAGACAGAAGGAAGGTTTGATTCTGGTCAAGGGCATGTACCTTGGTTGGGAGCACAGACCCAGTGGGGAGTGTGTAGGAGGCAGCTAATCAATGTTTCTAACTCTCTATCCCTCTCCCTTCCTCTCTGTAAAAAAATAAAAAAATAAATAAATAAATAAATAAAAATAAATAGATAAATAAATAAATAAAAAACAAAGAGCCCGAAGGAGGAAGTGCTTGATTGCCCTTCTTCCTCGAGCCCATGTCACCCAGCTGAGTTCAAGTTTCTCAGGAAGAAACGGGGCACCCCAACTTCCAGGCTCCCCACCTCTCCCCCATCTTGCCCCACAGGATTCAGGGCTGATATGCCCAACAGCCCAGAAACCCAGAGGACAGGGGAGAGGGAAGAGAGCACTGTACCCAGGCTTACCTGGTAGGTCCTGGGGCTGCCGCTTTCCTGGGGGGCTGCAGATGGCTGCGCGTGGCACCAGGAGGATGCGGTCGCTGGGCAACAGGACCTGGATGGGGGCCCACAGAAGAAATGGGTTATGAAAAGTCAAGCAACCGCCTCACCAAGATAAATACTGGATGAAGGCAGGGTGCGTTTGGCGTCAGTGCTTTCCCGCTCACCCAAGGTACACGTATTGGAAAGGTATTGGAGAACCAAGGCTCAAACGCTTGGTCCAGCCCCGCATCCTCTCCTTAACTCGCCATCTTCAAACAGAGTTGTAACGAAGATGGAGAAAGCGGTCCTTGTCACTAGCTCAGGGAGAGTGCAGTCAAGCTGGGCATGGCTAGGCAATCTAACTCCTAACTCCCTGTCCTACGTCCATTCTTCCTTACCTCTGTGCCCGGCAGCACCAGGTCTTGGAAGTCCTTTCCGAGTTGATGTTGAATCTGAAGCTAGGGCACCTCTGCCAGGGGGGACACTCCGGCTGCTGAGCGGCACTCGGCTGACAGGCTTGGGGATGGCTGAGGGGACAGGCAGTCGGCTGGAAGGTTTAGCAGCTGCTCCCTGTGGCCGAGACAGGCGCTGACAGTTGCTGGTAGGAGGTTGTGGGGCCAAGACAGGTCTGGCGGGAACAGGGGGGCCTGGGGCAGAGGAATTTTGGGGTAAGCTCCACATCCTCCCTCTTCCCGTTCACCCCCAGCTTTGCTGCCTGGGTCCTCTCACTTGCAGTTGCTCTCCCACTGGGCCCAGCTTTCCCCCGGGTTGGAGGCGTCGATCGGGTTGGAGGAGTCGATCGGGTTGGAGGTATCGATCGGGTTGGAGGTGTCAATCGGGTTGGAGGAGTCGATCGGGTTGGAGGAGTCGATCGGGTTGGAGGAGTTGATCGGGCAAGAGGAGAGGATGCTGGGCTTTTGGATGTAGGGAACAGATTGCAAGTGGGCGACTCCTGAAACACACAGACAGAGAGAGAAAAAAAATAAAGAGCTAAAATGGAAAAAGAATCTGTTCTGCTGGCTGAGGGATAGAGGCAGAGAGTTGCCTAGATCCCAGTGAGGAAGGGCAGGAGCTAGCTGCCAACTTCATGGTCACCACCAACACCATTTATTGAGAGCTTACTGGTGGTACAGACGTTACAGAGCTCTGCACAGACACAGCAGAAGGGGCATGGCTTACGGAATTTCATTTAACCCCCACAATCCTGTGAGGTAGAATCTCACTCTCCCCATTTTACCAACAAGGAACCACTGTCCTGTGTCCGGGGCCTGTCCTGTGTCCGGGGCCTGTCCTGTGTCCGGGGCCTGTCCTGTGTCTGGGGCCTGTCCTGTGTCCGGGGCCTGTCCTGTGTCCGGGGCCTGTCCTGTGTCCGGGACCACACATCCAACCCAGAGCCACTAGACTCACCCTCTTCCCGCTGGGGGGCTTCTTCCCAGATGTTGCCCGAAGAGCCCTGACAGACCCCTTCCTGTCGCTGCTCCGGAGTCGAGGAGTCAGGCTGCTTGGAGAGGGGGTGCTCTGAGCGGAAGAGCCCACAGTGGGCAGCAGGTCTCGGACAGGACTGTCCTTCAGCACGAAGGTCTCCCTCCGAGGGCTGGGCTTCACCCTGCGCGGCCCCGGGCTCTCGCCCGCCCTCTCGCGCTCCCGCAGGGCGCACTGCTCCAGCTGGGCCGCCAGCCTGTTGGCCTCGTCCAGGACCTCCTCCATCTTCGCGGGGCTGAGGCGGCCTAAGCTGAACCTCACACCCTGGGGGGTGGGGGCCCCTGCATTCAGGTCGCCCCGGTGGGAGAGGCCCCGGCGAACGGGTTTCTCTGGAGTCGCCAACACCGGTATGTCTTCCTCCTCACGACTGAGACAGAAAACACACCAGTGTCCACACTGAAGAGAGTGGGAGACACAACCCCAAACCCCAATGCCCAGGCTGGCCTCCAGGTGACGAGAAACCTGCTTCCATGAAGCCTGATAGGCCGTTAGCATTTACTGGCACTGGAGATTAGATGGGGATGAAGATGCAGCTAATCCACTTACCATTCTTTTTTTTTATTTTTATTTTACTGATTAAGGTATTACATGTGTCCCCACAACCCCCGTTCACGCCTCTCCCCCCCCCACCCCCGTTGTCTGTATCCATTGGTTAGGCTTATATGCTTGCATACAAGTCCTCTGATTGATCTCTCCCCCGCCCCGCGTACTATTTGTAACACCTTACAATCTCATTTCTCCCTTCTCTCCTTGCCCAGTAATGGTATCTTAGCGGCCCAAGCAAGCCAGCCACCACTCACCCAGTGCAACCCAATTTGCTAAATTACCAGCCCAGGCCTCAGAGGCCAAAACTTCAGCAGTAAGGGGTTAGAGACAGAGGCATCGTTGGAGGAAAGTAAGAAGCAGAAAGAGGCTTCTCTACCTGTCCGATGGTGATAGCCCTCCAAAGTCCAAGGTCTCATCCACTATAAACTTCACATCTGTAGGGGAGGGAGGAAGGAATGCCCGTTGTGGGTCCCTAAGGTGCTCTCCATTGCAGGGACTCAACCTTCCTTTGAGGATTTCCTTACCTTCCTGCAAATCGCCCATGTTCCAGCCAGCAGGAGCAGGACTCAGCTTGGACCTGAACTGGAGACAAAGCATATCTTTCCTCGGGTCTCCATGCTGGTTCAAGGCTCCCAGCTAGACTCGGAGCGCAAGCCAGGGGTCACGCTGCAGTCAAGCAAGCGCCCCAGGAGTAGCGCCGGCTCCGGTTCACTGCCGTTACCTCCGGGGACGGTGCGGAGAGCTCCCCCTACACCCTTATCGCCCTCCGCAGCCTGCCCTCCCGCCCTCCCGCCCCCTCTACGAGCCCCATATTCCTCCTATCCTCTCCCCAAGCCACCTTCCCACTCCTCCCGGGAGCACACCCCCAGCCTACCGCGAGTTTTCACTTCCCGCCCCGCCGTATCTCTCTCCCGGGAACAGAGCTTTCCTCCCGCAACTTCGTCCCGGGAATCTGCTCCGAGGGGGCGGGGCTCCTTTCGAATCTCTCAGGCCCCACCCACTCCGGCCACACGCGCGCGGTGATTGGCGGGTCCCGGCGTCCTCAGCCCTCGGGGGGCGGGGCGGCGGCGGGCAGCTGGCCGGAAGTCTGCCCGTGGGGGCGGGCTGGAGAGCGGTTCCGAGAAAGACTCCATCCGGGGGTCTGCCGCGGGGACGCCGGGGGCGCCGGGGGCGCGCGCGCGTGCGCCGGAGGTCTCTCCCGCGACGAGCGAGGACTGTAGGGTTTGGTCCCGGTCGCCCCCTCTTTTCCGTCTCCTCGTTCTGCTTGGAGGAGCCCGGGTTGTGGCTCCGGGACCCCCGCGGTCACCTGACGCCCCTCGCGTCTGCGGGCCCTGAAACGAACGCTCCGCCTGAGGAAGTCCGTTTCCGTGGGCTCCCGCCTCGTGCCCGCGCCGCTTTTGCCAGATTGCCTCAGGGGTGACTTTCCTGGTTACAGAAACACCTAAACATGCGCAAGTTAGGTATGTTGAGGTTGTCTGAGGAGGACAAGGAAGCTCCCACGGTTTTTGAAGCAGGAAATGTTCAGAACCCGAGGTAGCCAAGGTGTGAAGACAGCAACGGCCAGGTGGCAGTTACAGGATAGTCGCCGCGTGTGAACTGCAGCACAGGGAGCTCGTCCGCGGCATAACTATGCAGGGGGCCAGGTGGGACTAGACTTAGGGGGCGCTCACCTCATCTGTAGATATAGAAAAGCTTAAGAGACAATTCCGACCCAACGACCAGTCGCTGTGATGTGCACTGACCACTAGGGGGCAGAAGCTCAACACAGGAGCTGCCCCCTGGTGGTCAGTGTGCTCCCACAGGGGGAGCACCGCTCAGCCCGAAGCCAGGCTCACTGCTGGCAAGTGTAGCTAAGGGGGCAGTTAACCAGTGGGCAGGCACAGCTGGCTCAGGCTCCTCCCTGGCTGCCTGCTGCTTGGTGCACTGCTACATCCTTTGGAGGATGTCCCACTGCCCGTTTAGGCCTGATCCTGTGTGTGTGTGTGTGTGTGTGTGTGTGTGTGTAAATAAATCAGCAGCCGGACATCTCCCAGGTTGTGAGAGGGCACAGGCCAGGCTGAGGGACCCTGCACAAATCCGTGCTCCAGGCCTCTAGTAAGTTATATAAATATTTAACCACCATGCTATATACCTGAAACTAATAATATTGAACTTCCATTGTAATTGAAAAATAAAATAACTCAAAAAATAAAGTAAATGTGATGGAAAAGGAAAAAAAAAGGGGGGGGGGCTTTAAGGACAGGGAGAATTGGGTTCAAATCCAGCCCAGACTCCTGGGTGTACCTGGGAGGCAGGCTTGAACCTATTTTTATATTTGGCCCCTGGGTTTTCTATGAAGGGAAGATCCTGGCAGTGATATGATTCAGAGCATACTTATGAATATCACGTTTTATTCCGTGTGCCTAGGAGCTTTTGAGGGGGTTTGTAACATACTCCCTCTAAACTCAAAGCTGTGTTCAGAAACCCCTGAAGCCTCCTTATTTGGGATATTCTCTCTGTTGTTCCCAGATGTTGCCTGGGAATAAACGGGGCCACAAGTCAACAGAGCTTCTCAGAAATGTTCTAAAGGTTTTTGTCCTAAAAGTGGCCAGAAAGTTTTCCTGTAAACCAGGGATGGGGAACCTTTTTTTTCAGCCAAGGGCCAGTTGATATAACATCATTCCCGGGCCATGCAAAATTACCCACTTAAAAACTAGCCTGGTGTATTTGGTCAAATATTTAATTAACTTGCCCTTAATGCCTTGGCAGGGCCAGACCAAATGATTTCAGGGGCCTTATGCGGGCCGTGTTCCCCACCCCTGCAAAGAGCCTGAAATTGAGACTCCAGCACTTGTGACCATTATTTGGGCCATTTGTGGGCTTTTTTTTTTTTTTTTTTTTTTTTTTTTTTTTTTTTTGTCTGCTTCCTGGTTTTCAATGGTACAGTTGAGATGGTGAGGTTTGCAAGAATGAGCTGTTGCTGTAAAAAAATGCCACAGGGAGCAAAGGAGCCTTGGGATTTAATGGAGTGATCAGGGAAAGGGTGGGGAGGCTCAGAACCTGTGAGGAAGGTGAGGAAGACCTGAGCGAGGAGGATGGCTTCTTTCCCCCAGGTTTGTGGGTGAATGTGGAATTTTAGTTGCCTGTAGGATTCAGGTTCTGTGGAGGTGGGGAAGCCAGAGCCAGATGCCTCCCTCCCTCCGTGGCAAAGTGGAGATTTGGGGGAAAGGAGCTGTTAATTAACTGTACTTTTTTCTTTCCCTAGGAACAGCTGAGAGGGGGAATGCTGCACTTACTTCTTCACCCACCTTCAGGTAAGCGGGGGAAGCAGTTTTAGAAAATTGGAAGTTAGTTTATCCTAAGGAAACTCATCTTCAAATTTTTATCGCCAAATGATGATTTTGAAAGCTCTCCCTGGAGCACGCCTGCCTTTCCCTCCCCCCATGCGTTACTACTACCTTCCTCGCTCCCAAGCTCCAAGAGCCCTTCCTTTATCTCTATAACTTGTTTCCTAAGCCCATTTCTTCTAGGAATTACTTTTTCTAGCTCTGTGATTTTACAAATAAATGTTCTCTTATTTAAAACAAAACAAAAACAATGGAACTACTTTCTCTTTCAAATGACAAGGTCAGAAAAACAGATTTTTAGGTACAGTAATTCTTCACTCGGCATAAAGCTGCTAATCTGGGAACTATTGGTCCCCCTCAACTCAACCCCAAATGGTGTATACGTATGAACAGGTGGATAAATAATAAATAAGTGAATTAATGAAGAAAGTACACCCCCTTCCAGGCACATGGTAGGTCTTAATTCAGAAGGTACTCCACAGTGTTGAATGCATAAATGAAGAAATTAAGGATTCCATTGCAGTTCTCCTTGAATTCAGAAAGAGTAACTATGACTGCGGTTCTTGTTCAGTGTGCATATTTTATTCCTTCCCCATGAAGGTTAAGAATGTATGAATTTTAAGGGATGGCCCTTGAGCATTTTAACAAACAGCAGCAGGAGGAGGTGTAGGCTAAAGCCAGAGGTCTGGCTGGGATCCCGAGGGCATCGTTGCTGGGCATTCACTCCCTCCTGACCTAGGACCTGGTTGGTTGGAGCTCCCTCTTCGCCATTGTGTACATGACTGGTTGGCTGTGGTCTCTGCCCCTCAGTCTCAGCAGGGGTTATGTGCATTACACCCTACAAATGATTTATGTGACTGTTTTCTCAATTTTCTCAAGGATGGTACATAACTAGTCATATTTTAGATGCATAGGAAGAAGTTACTTTATGACATACAATGGATGCCTTGGGGCATTAGCACTTAATTCTCATAGAACTTCAGTTGAGAGAGGCTGGAATAGATACTTTGCCTCAATTTAAAATAGGCCTTCGTTCTGAACAGACTCTTCTCAGCAATATAACTCCTTCCTACTCAAAACCTTGCCTAATATTTACTAGATCCTGGAAATCTTTTCTTTCTTAAGCCTATATGTATTACAGTGAGGAACACTGAGTGAAAGAGAGGAAAGAAAATAAAGAAGGCTGCAGGTTGTGTGAGGTATTCAAATCCTAGCTCTGTTACTACCACCTGGTTCAAATGCTACCTCTGTTACTACCACCTGCATACTTGGAACAACTTATGAGCTTCAGTTTACTCATTTATAAAATGAATATTAAAGAGACAAAGCTCTTAGTTCAATGACTGCTACATAGAAGGCTGTTTGCAGAGTGGGACAAATGTAGATTTACAGTTACTCATATGGAAAAAATACAATAATAACAATATAAGAATAAACTGTTTTTGCCTACTCACAATGATAAAGATATTTTTGCCCCACCCTATTACTGTGTGTAACAAACCACCCCAATATTCAGTGGCTTGAAAAAAAGCACCCATTTATCTGCTCATGATTTATACTTTGGGCAGGGCTCTGCAGGGACAATTAGTCTCTACTCCACAAGGAGTAGATGGGCTTGACTATAGCTGAAATGTCCAAGAGTCCTGGTGTCTAGAGCCTGTCAGCTAAGGTTTGGATGTCCTGTATGTGGGCTCTAATAATTCAGTAATCTATCCTGAAATTCTTTACATGGGAGCCAATTTGTAAAAACAAGCAGAAACTACTAGACTCCTTAAGGTCTAGAACTGTTCCAGCATCATTTCCGCTACATTCTTTTAGTCAAAGCAGGTTGCATAGTCAGCCCAGGTACATGAGGAAGAGAAATAGATGCCAACTCTTTTTTTAAAAAAATGATTTTAGAAAAAGAGAGAGGAATGGAAGTAGGGAGGAGATAGGAAGGTGAGAATGAAGGAGCAGGAAGGAGAGCAGAGAGAGAGAGAGAAAGAAAGAAACAGAGAAACGACGATTTGTTGTTGAAAGAGCAATCTGTTCCACTTACTCAGGCATTCATTGGTTGATTCTTGTATGTATTTTGTCTGGGAATTGAACCCATAACCTTGGCATCAGGATGATGCTCTAACCAACTGAGCTACCTAATCAGGACAATGCTAACTCTTGATAAGAAGATCACCATGCCCAACCTAGGATGGGAGGAATTGTTGCTATCTTTTGCAGATTCCATCACAGAATGCATTTAATATGTTATTTGTTATAAGAATAAAAACAAATGTAACCAAGAACACCTCACCTTAATTCTTTCCCTGGGGCTTAATAAGAATACACTACAATTTCTTCAGTATCTCCAAGCCCTCAAGTTTTAGTGTTCTGTCCTAATTAGCTAGCTATGCATTTATGTGTCCTGCTGTCTGGATGTGCCTTCTGTAGTTATCCAACTTGTACTGGACAGCCCAGAGAGGAAAAGGCAAGTTATCTTCAACATCCCTTTCAGCACCTGGTACTGCATAGAGTTGAACTCAGTTCTGTCATACACTGTATAGGGACAAGGACAATATTAGAAACCTCTGTGGAAGAGAAAATGGATATCGGAAGAGAAAGTGGATATCAGAAGAGAAAGAGGAATCTGAGGTTTTTTTGAAATTGCACATAGTCTTGCTAAAGAACTCCAACTTTCTAAATGGTTTTTCTACATGGGGAAGGCACAAACAGATGGACACTTATGCACTGAGGAGCCTCCCATTTATTTAGATCGGTCCAAACCAGATGCTGTACTGAAGCTCCTTAAGAATACAATCTCGGCACAGTCAGGCTTCCTGGAGGCACAGAAAAGAGAGAGTTTGTTATGCCATAACAGCCAGCAGCCAGAGCACATACAGGGAGGTATGAATTCTCTACTTACCCTGCCTCATTGCTGGGCACTGGCTGGGAGAGAGGTAAAAGGACAAACAACACTAAGAAGACTAACACTAACCCAACACAATACTGACACCGAGAGGGACCCGAGGGATAGCAAGAGAACTGTTTTTGCAAGCCAACTGGCAGAGAGAGTTCTTCTGAGAAGTTTGTACTTTAATGCATCCCTAAGGGTTTTCATTTGCCTTTTATCAATGATAAGCTCTTGGGATTGAATTCATTCTCAATTTTTATCAGCCAGGAGCTGCAAGTCAGCAGAGACATTGGGAACACATTCTCTTTAATTCTCTCATGAGCTTCTCTTTCACCTCACTCATCAGTTTATATACAACATTTCTACTGTGAATGGTTTAGAATCTGAAGGCGCTATCAAATTCTAAACAATGATCTGAGTTGCCATTTGCTTGTAATGTGCTGCTTAGAACCACATACCCATATTTTTAATTATCCTCTTGCAGGAGAAGGAATCCATAAACTTCAAAGTAAAAAACAACAACAACAACAACAAAAAAAACAGGCACTGGATCTGTTTTTCACCATGCTTATGATACCGAAGTAGAAATAATCAACAAGAGCAGCTTCTTCTCCTTTCCCTTGCTGCCACCATGTGGTGGTGGTGACCCTTGCCCATCCTCTATTCCTGATTATTCCTTTGACATCTTTTCTAACAGCATCTGCCCACCTCCCTCCCACAGATCCCCCTGACAATTAGGCAGATGCTATCACTCTTCTTCAGAGGAGCATAAATTCCCATCATGAACTTGAGTAGTATAGATAGAGCATGTAGCAAAAATAGATTTCATCTATGATAAATTTCCTCCATGGGAATGATAGAATTGAAAGCTCAGGAATTCACATCTGCCCATGTCTCAACAACACTAGCCAGAAACATGAAACATTCAGACACCTGTTTCTCTCTCCTTACCTTCCTCAAGGGTTGTCCATGTCCTCTTAGGGAGTCTCAAAGAGGAGCTGCAAGAATTCAGACATTTCCCAATGTCAATATCTCAGAAATCTCTGGGAAACCTTCTTTCAGAGTCCTGGGAAGGGGAATGCTTCTTTGTTTTTTTGGGGAGTCCACAATGCTAATGAGTAGTTTATGCAGAGAGAAGAATAGGATATGTAATTCATCCTACACACAGTTAAAGAGTGTCTGTTGTGTGTCAGAAACGGGGCTCATGCTTGGGTGGCAGTGGAGGAGACAAAGGCAGATAAAATTGTCCACCCTCATAGTGCTCATAGTTTAATGGGGAAACAGATCAGTAAATTGATAATTATAAAAAAGTGCTAAATGTAGTGATGGAGATCTGAACAAGGTGGCAGTAGAAGAGAGGTAGAGAGATGTACAATATTTTCTTTTAGCAAACCAGCGGGCAAAGTTCTCTGGTTTGTTTAAAAGCCCGATAAACAGTTGCAGGTTTCTTGGATGGGGTCAGAAGATTGATGTGTGTGTGTGTGTGTGTGTGTGTGTGTGTGTGTGTGTGTGTGTGTGTTTAAAGTGATCTGGGTGAGGACCAGGAAACTTGGGCTCTTTCCACCATAGTGCCAACTCCTCAGTTAACCAACATTGGAAATCTTGAGTAATCAATCACCTCCTTGTACATTAAGTTTCTCTTTTGCAAAATTGAAATAGCAACTCTTTCTAATTGTAGAATTATATATATCCTGATGTTGACTTTGATGAAAGGGCCTGAATGGGGAAGCAAATTAAGCCCTTTTCCATCTAGGCTTGTGTCTCTGCCTCAACTTTTTCATCTGTGGAGAAAGGAAATGACTGCACCAAAGGCATGAGTTCTGCCCTTACTCATCACATCCACCCGACAGTCCACGGACGCCTCCCCTAGGGGGTTAACTGCTTTGCAGGTGTAGATGCCCCCATCAAAAGGACCAGGCTTGCGGATTTCCAGTGAGCAGATTCCCAAATAAGTGAGGGCTCTGTACTTGGGGTTGCCTTGGATATCCATGTTGTTCCTCAGCCAGATAATCTTCGGCTAGAAGATAAGGATGAGGGTGCATCAAGGGTGGTAAGAACCAATTGTTCTTTCTGTGCTCAGTCTCTGAGGCACTGCCTATAATATTTGGGGACACACCGGCCAGAGGAGCGGGGGCAATAGGATGTTTAGGAACAGATGGTACAGGGATCTAGAAGAGATAATGGCCTCTGGAAAGTCTCTATCCCTTATATTTAGGAATGGGTTCCCCCTCCAGTATCCTCAACAGCCTCCACACTCCTTCTCTTGGTTGAAAAGAGCACCTGAAACGTTGCTTTGCTCATCAAGTATTCCTGACTAAAAGAAAAGTGATAACTTCTCTTCTATCCTGCTCAAGCAGCCCCTTTATGGATCAGAATTGGGTGTCAGATTTGCCTCTTCTTTGTATATACATTATTGAGTCATTCATATTCTTTCCCACTGTTGACTTGGGGATTACTCTTGTCCCTCTGGTTAGAAAGTAGTTTCTAAAGTTGACTTACTGGTTTTTTCTTTCTGAGATCTCATGGCCACATAATCTGACCCAGTACTAGTACACAAAGGGTACTTGGTAAAGGTTTTTATGCCACATATGGAGTGAGTAGGTTGCAAATAGAGAACCTTGCTCAGAGTTGTGGCCAAAGGCTCAATTTTAGGCAGCTCAAATGTGCATGGCCCTGATCAGAAGAAATGCAGTGGGGGAGTAAGGAGAAACCAGCGGGACTCCATGACCCCTGCCAGAGAGACAGACAGCTTTGGAGCTAATTCCCAGTTGCCAGCCAGTCAGAAAGTGACATCTTCATACATGAGGAACAAACACTAAAATGGATACTGGGGATATTTTCCACATTGGCCTATTTTGGACTCCAAATGCCCTGACTGTTCCTATGGGACCTGTTATGGAAGAGGCAGATGGAACAAACGTTCTGGTTGGAATGCTCTTTGATATAGCTATGGTTAGAGCAGGCACAGGAAGCAGCATGGCACAGCCACCCATAAAACTCCCCACTCACCTTGGGAGAGGCACGGACACTGCAGAAGAGCTGGGTGTCGTAGCCGGTGACTGTAGTGCAGTTCACGAGAGGCTGGGTGAACTTTGGAGCTTCAGAGAAATCTCGCTGGGCAAACCCCTTAGTCTTGTAAACAGTAACTGGGGTGACCAAGAAAGGCCCTGATGTAGTGCCTGAGATCTCCATCTTCCTGCAAGTCTTTATCCTTCACTTCCCAGCTCAGGGTCTTTGCACCTTACCTGCTTTCTGGATGTGGGCAAGGTCGGCAGTGATGGGGGCTGTCTCACTGAGCCCACACTGGTTCTCAGCAAAGACTCGAAATGCATAGGAGTTGCCGATGATAAGGTTGGAGACTGTGAAGCTGGTGCGGTGATAACGCTCCAGCACTGTGAACCACAGCTTTGGGGTCCCAAGAAGATGCCATGAGTGAGACACCTGTTTTGTGAACTCAGTCCACTTTAGCCCACCATGTGGAGCTATCAGAGCCCCATTCCAGAATATGCTATGCCTCCTTCCCTTCCTCCCTCCCCGCTGAGCCTCACCCCAGATTTTGTGTCAGCCTTCTGCACCGTGTATCCCAGGAGTTCCGCATTGCCTGTGTCTCCGGGAGGTGTCCACTCCAGGGTAGCATTGGAGTCCCAAACGTCCACCAACTTGATACTCTGAGGAGGGCCTGGCCTCTCTGAAAGGACCAAGCATGGCACAGGGCATGGTACAACTCTCATGCGTGGAAATGGCTTCAGGAGTGCCCCTTCTCCTCTACTCAGCTACTCCTCCCTCCATCCACTTGTGTCCCACACTCAACGTGTCCCCAGCTCTCTATGATGCCTGGAGAGGGAGCCCCTGAGGACCACCCCACCTGGTACTCTCCCCACCGTACCGATCACCAAGAGGTCAATGGTGGCAGTGGCCTCTAGCCCGCCCAGCTGCACACTGAGCTGGTAGCGACCTGAGTCAACACGTTGGGCTTCTCGGATGAAGAGGATGGAGTCCTGCTCCCCATTCCGCACACTCACACGACTGGCATCCAAGGCACAGCTGTTATGTGTCCAGGTGGCTCGAGGTTTGGGTTTGCCCTGAGAAATAGGGATAAGGCTGTGAGCAGCCCCAGGAGGCCTCTTGGCCCTCCCCCCAGTTCCACATGGTGACTTGATTTGCAGCTATAAATTCCTTGAGTTAGAGATTGGTGGGCTCTCCCAGGAGACTTCCGTCTTTCAGCAACAGCCTAAGGATCATGGGGAAAAGGGTAGCTTTGAGTCTCCCACCCTCTGTGAGTTTAGATCATGGACATGCAGGGCAGATGAGACTAACAATAGCTGTCCACACTCCGCGAGCCCTCCCAGCTGAGAGTTCCTAGACCTCTGCAGACCGAAGGACTTGGATTAGACTCACCTTATCACATGGGGCCCAACCCATTCCACCCCAGGAGTGCAGATGGAAGGCCCATTTGGCCTCAGACTTCTTGTGATATGGCTCCCTTCATTCAAGACCAGGGCACCTGCACTACTGCTAGTAGGACTCTTGGTATCTGTTTCCAAATCAGCCATGGACCCAGCCATGGGCCCAGCGTGGGGCTGGGGTATGATCACCTGGAATGGAATTCGTAGGTTCACAGTGTCTCCAACCTTGCGGATGTAGGTCTGCCTCAGCGCCCGAGGTAACCAGATCTTAGGTTGCTCTGAGTGATGGAAAGAGAGAATGGGGTGGTGAGCCTCTTCTGGTGGGAAGAGTGGTGCTCAGAGGGAGGGGGTACTGCCTTCAGCTGTGCTCCATGGGCAGGTGACCCAGGTTTAGCAAATTAAGTTCTCGCGTAGGGAATGGGAAGATTGCTCCTATCATCTTGCTGGGGTGTAGGGACAAACAACTGGCTAAAGGATCCTCTAGAGCAGTGTTTCCCAAACTTTTGACAGCACGATGCAGTGCATACCTCCACCAAACTCCGGTGCAACGTTTACTGCCACCAAACTTCCCATACTCCTGGGGATACGCGTACCACACTTTGGGATACACTGCTCTAGAGCCGTGGTTGGCAAATTGCAGCTCGCAAGCCACATTCGGCTCTTTGGCTCCTTGAGTGTGGCTCTTCCACAAAATACCAGAGCCTGGATGAGTCTATTTTGAAGAAGTGGTGTTAGAAGAAGTTTAAGTTAAAAAAAATTTGGCTCTCAAAAGGCCAACGTTGTACTGTTGATATTTGGCTCTGTTGACTAATGAGTTTGCCGACCACTGCTCTAGAGAGCGCCAGTCTTGGCAGCAAGAGCCCCTGAGTGGGAACCTGATGCTTCTGTTAATTTATAACTAGCAACTCCTGACTTTCCATCAACTAATATTTCTTTTTTCTTTCTGTGCACAGACAAGTCCAGTCTGTGTGGTTTGTCTTTCCATCCTTTTGCTACATTTATCCTTAACAGCACTCCTTTTGTCAAGGCCACTTTCAATGTTAATCCTGACCTCCAAGTGTCAGCCCTGCCCCCCAGGTTGGTGCCAGCCCCGAGGAGAAAAGAAAGCTTTCCCTTCCAGAGGCAGAGTCAGCTCCCTAGACCCACTCAGACAGCACTGGTGTCTTTGCACAGGTTGCTGGCGTCTGGGTGCCGTCCTCTGCATGGCTGCCTGGCTCGGTGCCTGCACAGTGTTCTTCCAGTTTGTGGAAGATCACTTTGTACAAACAGAATCTGGGACATACTAGATCCGCTGCTTACTTACCCTTGGTCTCCCAGTGAAAAGAGAGATTAGATCATGTTTATTGGCTTCCAGAATGAAGACAGGAGATGCTCAGGAAAGTGCTGAGAGTAAGGTTTGGAAAATGACCAGGTGTAATTTCTCTCCTTGGCCTCAGGCTGCCTTGACTGAGAAAATGCAAACATCCCACCTGTGTTCCCTTGGGGGCCCAGCTAAGACAGACACCATTTTCCAGCCTTTTGGAGGCTCCTGTCTCCTCCTTTTCCAGGCACATATAGTCCCCTGCTGCTATTCTCTTAAATGGAATGTGGCAGTGCCTCAGTTTCCACCAACTTCCCAGCCTCTCCTAATGATTCATTCCTAGCAATTGGACATTCACTCCGGCACCCCAGCCTACCCTTCCACACACATAGCACAATTGGGATTCCAATTTTTTTATAATACTCATTTCTCTATTAATACATTCCTAAGCATCCACCCCAATGTACATTTACCTATAAATTGAACTGTTTAAATATATACATTATATACTGCAAAATTTAAAATAAAATAGTGGTTCTGCTCTGTTCTTTCTACCCCTCAATCTTTAAATTTTTTTAAAAAAATATATTTTATTGATTTTTCACAGAGAGGAAGAGAGAGGGATAGAGAATTAGAAACATCGAAGAGAGAGAATCATCGATCAGCTGCCTCTTGCACACCCCCTACTGGGGATGCGCCCGCAACGAAGGTACATGCCCTTGACCAGAATCGAACCCGGGACCTTTCAGTCCCCAGGCTGACGCTCTATCCACTGAGCCAAACCGGTCCCAACTACCTTTCAATCTTTAGATCATTGTCTAGAGACCAACAATTTCACTCCCACAGATCCCCCCATTATGATCTCAAGATCATCTGGCCTTTGTAAACGAACATAACCACAGACATTCAGCACATGCTGTCCATTTTATTTACCTAGTTTCCTTTTCTGCTATGTGCCTTATGTTTTCACTTGGGTTGTGCTGTCTCAGACTGCACTTCACTCCTGCAGGAACAAAGTGGGTCAGGGCCTCCAGTGCTCTGAGCACCCGTTCCCTGAGCTGCTCAGGGTCTGCTAGCCTCAGTAGGAATAGGACAGCCTCAGAGCCCAAGCAGCTGAATGACCCTGCTCTGCTTGCCCTCTGTTTGACTTTGACGGTTTGGGAGGGGGTGGAGCATGAAGAACAGAAGAAGTGTTTGTGCGATGTGTTGCTCTCCTGGGGCCATCTTGGCAAGCCACCAAGGAGTTGAGAACAGGCGGATATGACTTAAGGATTTTCTGAAAAAAGAGGATAGCAATTGAAAAAGAAGGTTCAAAACCTCATCTTTTTGGGCTTGGTTCCCCACTGTTGAGTAGGGAAATCACCCTTCACACTTGCTGGGGAGAAGGCTGGAGAGGAGCCTCCGGGAATGTCTGTGTTATAAAGAGCCTAGCTGAGCACAAGGAGCAGACTGGAAGGAAAGGGCTTGGAGACGGAAACAGATTTGCTGAGAGTATCATGTCTAGTCGGGAAGTTTTGCTGAACTGGGACTCCTGCTTCTCCATCTGACATGGCAAATCTCTCCACACTTCTGTCCTCCAGCGTCCACCTGAGACTGAGCACCAAAGTCAAGGCTCTGACTGTGATCTTGCCCTTGGAGGGAGGTGGCAAATAAGGGACACCCTCAATAATTGAAAAGGATAAGACAAGAAAAAAAAAAAAAAAAAAAAAAAAAACCCAAGCTGTCAGGCCTAGAAGATGTGCTTGCTGAGCTCTGCTCTGCTCAGACTTCAGGAAGGAAACAGGCTTCTGTAGATGGGTGCGTGTTCATGTATCTGTTCCCACGTGGTGTTTCTTAAAAAAATACCTTGATAAGTGTTAGCTTAGTTTCACTTGAACTACAGAGAAACATTAAAGCAATGGATTTATGTGGCACATAAGCTAAGACAGGGGAATTAGGAGGAGGATGAGCAGAATGGCCCTGAGATCCAGAGGGGAACCCAACAGGGGCAGAGAGAGGAGAAAGGCTGTCAGCCAGGATGGTGGTCTTCTCCCCAGAGGTCTCCTGTGAAGTTCTTTTCCTATAAGTGAGACTCCCTGACACAATGATAAGTAAATAAGGGACAAACTGAAGTTACTAGAATGCTCCAACTGAGGTTCAGTTGGAGAGGATGTGGCTTTCAGCAGGCTCCCAGGTCCCCATTGCAGGGCAAAGAAAGGATGGTTTAAGGCTAAAGCAGCTGACAGAGTGTAGGAGGTGGCAGAAGAGTGTTTGACAGCTCCAGGTGCCTGGGCAGCAAGCAACAGGCACTTCCCCAGCTCAGCCGGCCTTCTTGTCTGCCCTGCAAACAAGAGCAATCTGACCCTTTGCTGAGAATGTTAATAGGAGGGCTTATTCAGGGCATCTCTCTTCACACCTCCATAGCCCAGTGAGGTGTGAATTGTACTGACCTTGAGGAAACATGGCTTTCTCCTCCTCAGATGCCAGGAGGGATGTGAACCAAAGACTAGAGCCCGAAAACAGAAGCGAGGTTTTCTGAGGTTTTCTAAGACGAGGTGTGAGACAGCCACAGTTTGGTTTCCTCCCTTTATAGAATTTTGGGGGAAATATATTTTGAAAGTCCTTTGAGAGCCATTGGCTCTGAGCTGTGTCTTTCTCAGTGCTGTGTTTCTCTCAGACAGGACGTTATCTAATTCTTTTCTTAGAAATTAGTAGTGAAGACCATCTAAAGTCTAAAAATCTTGACTCTTCTTGATTAGAAAATTCCTCCTAGTTCACCCTAATTTCATCCCACTGAAGTTGATGCCCATTTCCTTATTCTTTGCTCATGGGAAAATTGGTTCATATCCTCTCATAATTTCCTTTCACATGGTTAAAAAAATTTCCCCAGCAGTTCCCTAAGGGCTGTGTAGTCCAGATTGATGTTGTGAATTATGGCCTGGAGAGTGAAGAAACAAGATGGACACATTTGCAGAGTGAAGGGGGTGTGTGCCTGTGTGTGTGTGTGTTGAGTGTGTGTGTCAGTGAATGGTTACCAGAAGATGGCGAATGCACAAGATGAACCGTGGCTTTGAAACATAACCAGAGATTTTCAGGGATCCCAAAAGTACCAGCATTTCTTAGAGAAACATTAGCAGATGCTTAGAATGTGGCCTTGGACTTATCAGAAACCTGTCTGGAGGAGTGTGATGGGAAAGGCATATGTGACCTCAGGGACATCTTGAGAAGGACAAGACTATGAAATTAAGGTCAGAAAAAAAAAAAAATAAAAGGACAGAGACATAGGCAACACTTTTCTGAGATCTCAGGCACTACACCCCTCCCTGCGGTAGTCTTCCCCTCTGCTGGTGGCTTTCACCCTGACTCACTGTTATTCTCCCCTGCGCTGCTCCAGTCCTGATTCCTGGTGATTTTCACAGCCATCCTTCCAACCGGGGCTTACACCATGCCTGCTACTCCTCCAAGAATTTTGTCCTCCCCTGCTTTACCTTTGTTCCTTGGTCATTGTCTAGATCAGTAACTACAGCCCCTCTACAATCTGAATTTCAAACATCCCATTATCTCATCCCTACCTCTGTGACAGAGATAGCTAATTGCCCACCCAGATTTATATGATCTCTTCCACAGTATCATGATCTCTGAGAAGGGGCCAGTGATATGTGAGTAAAACTGATGAGAATCACTCCTGAACCATGGCTTTTAAGAAATTAGTTCCCTATTTCTCCTTCCACCTCTAGTCAGCTCAGCTAGGCTCAGGTGAGCAGCACGGAGCTGTCGGCAGAGGGGGTGAGAATCAGGGACTGGAAGGGGCACCCACCACCTCCTAGCTCAAAAATGCCTCTTTGCCAAGAGGCTCAGGGAGGCCACCATGGAGAAGCCGCCACATGCTTCTCCCAGGAGGGCTCTGCTTCCATGGGGCTCAGATTCTGAGAAGTGGGGTTTCCTATGGGAGCCAGAGGGGGTGAGGCTCTGGACTCACGGCACTGCCCAGGGAAAGGCAGAGTGTCATGGACTATTCACTACTTAGTCTTCCAGTCACTATAGCTTTTTCATTTCCCTCTTTTAATCTAGACAGTCACGATCTCACCCTCATTTCCTTTCTGACTGGCATTAGTATAGCAGGTCCTCCTAGTCCCCGTGATAGATATTTCTTAAAGGTAAAAGCATTAGCAGATTATTAGTCATTGTTAAGTGCCTCACACACCATTTACCAAATTCTCAGCTAAAAAAATCAAACACCCAGCAGAGACACATGAATAGCAAGTCAGAGTCCACCAAGGAAGGGGGTGCAGAGCTCCAACCAATGCTCCTCTGTCCTAAGTCCCCATTCCTTGAGGTCATCAGCTCTGCATAAACCTAAGGAGGTGCCATCAGGGAGTCGGAATATCCTCCCATCTCCCACCACCCTCCCTAACCCCACGGTCACCTTCTAGAGAGGCCAGGAGTTGAGGAATAGGGCTGCCGGCCCCCTGTCGAGGTGAAATCTGGGGTTCTTCCGCATCTGCTGGGCTGGCTTCTTTCACCTTCAGAGTGGGTCCTGGGGCCACCTCCGGTGCCGTGACTGCCTCCATGCTGGGCTACCCAAGGCTGGGCTCCAGCAGCAGATTTTCACTGTTGGTGCTGAGGGAGGGGCTGAGCACCTGCTTTTCAGCCTCTCCAGGGCTTCTCCCCACCCTGCTACTCCCAGAAGAAGGGCTGAAGCAGGGCTGGGGGAAGAAAGGGGGATCAGACAACAGCCCAGAATAGCCACAGGAGGAGGGCTGAGGTGGCCCTGTTATCTTGGGAGATGACACCCCTCATGCAACACCAGGGAGGGAGGAGAGAGCTTGAGCTTCAAATAGCTCCCCCTTCTCCCCCATGCAAAGACCATCCAGACAGGGCCTCTGGCTCCTGTGGGATTGGGTGACATCTTGACTCCTGACCTCCAGCTCATCTGACATGGCGTTCAGGTCCAAAGAAAGGGGCCCCAGAATTAGCTTAGTGATAGGCATACCTTGAACTGCTCTTTCTCTCTCTACTCCCATATTCAATGAGTTGTAAATTTTTAACTTGACGTTTAAAAAAAATATATTTTATTGACTTTTAACAGAGAGAAAGGGAGAGATAGAGAGCTAGAAACGTCGATGAGAGGGAAACATCGACCAGCTGCCTCTTGCACACCCCCCACCGGGGATGTGCCCGCAACCGAGGTACATGCCCTTGACCGGAATCCAACCTGGGACCTTTCAGTCCACAGACCGACGCTCTACCACTGAGCCAAACTGGCTTCGGCTAACTTGACTTTTTTTGTGGTTGATACTCTCCTGAAGATATTTTTCCGTTGGTTTTTAGAGAGAGTGGAAGGGAGGAGGGAGGGAGAAAAACAAAAACATTGACGTGGAGAGACATATCGATTGGTTGCCTCCCACACATGCCCCAACAGGAGTGGGAGCTTGAACCCCCAACCCAGGTGTGTGTCCTTGACCAGGAATTGAACCCACCACCTTTCAGTGTGCCTTCAGGTGCATGGGCAAGGGCTTGTCAACTTGACCTTTAAGGGTATGTCCGCATTCTCTCCCCATTCCCCTACTGACAGTGGAAGTTAGTCTGCACTCTGGAGCCAGACTACTAGGGCTCATGTTGGCGCCATCACCAACTAGTTGTGTGACTTGCGACACATCACAGTCTGTCTTAGTTGTTTCCTCATCTGAAAAGTAGATATGATAGTAACCATAGGGTTGCTGTGAGGATTAAGAGGCAATCTGTGTAAAGTGCTCAGCAGAATACAGCTGACTAAGTGCTCGATAAATGTGAACTATTTTTAGGTCAGGGCACTTGCCTCTTTGAAAGCTCCCTCGCCTGGGAGATAAAGTACAAAGTGAGGGGCAGCAAGGGTGGGAGGAGAGCCAGGGGCATAAGGTCAGAAGACTTGAGTGTGACTTTTGGCTCTGCCGCTCACTCATCAGCTAGGTGACTCTGAGCCAATCACTGCCTCTGAACTACGGGTCTTTGGTCTAATAAACAAAAATAATGAGGCTAGGGTTGGGTTGAGGATAAAGTGATAAAAAATGTAGGGAAGTGGCCAACCCACAGTAGGTATCAAGTTACATACTAAAGGTCCTATGATTTCCAGTTTTACCAAACCATCATCCTATACCTGTATATTCCATCCAAATGATCTGGTTTCCCGTTGTGCTCTTTATTCACAGAAGCCAGACCGTGTATCCCCTTGGTATATACATCAATATTTCTATATAGACTTTATTTTTAGAGCAGATTTAGGTTCACCACAAAGTGGAAATATGGAGTTCCCATATACCCCTCTCCACTAGGTCCTTATTTTTTTTTTAAGGAAAAATGAGTGTGGTTGAATGACTAGGCTCATGATTACCTTTTAGCTCTCAATTTGGGGGCAGTCTCTAGGATCCCAATAGTCTGTGTTAGTCTTGGGGTGTGAGACAGAATCCCTCTTTGCGACTTATATAGGTGCTCAGGACCAGGACACATTGTACACACAGTTTAGGGTGCAAAAACCTGTTTATCATGTTGGGGGGAGTGAGGGCAGGGTCAGCAGGAACCTCTCCTAAAAGAAATATTTTGGATGAGAAGGGGCAACTCTTTGAAAGGCCTTAAATGAAATAGATCAGGAAGAACTTTGAATAAAAGCAGCAGGAGAAATGTATGAGGGGCACATGGAAAGATACCAAAGTTAAACTTCAGTGTTGTCATTTGTCAAACCTGCTATAAGGAACATATAATTCAGGAGAGTAATTGTATGTTTCTGTGTCCAGAGGAAGAATATAACAATTGAAACCTGAGAAGGTGTGCGGGGTGAGTCAGTTAGACTTTCTGGGGGAAAAGGAAGTAAAAAAGGAGGTAGTTTTCCTCATAAATTATCTTAATACCTTTCATGCTATAAATGCAGTCCTGGCACTTTAATTGGCTTATGTGCTGGTTTGGTGTGATTGCTGAACCTAGAATCTGGAAAAGCTATCATAGTAACAAATTGTAGTTTAGTCATTTCAGTAGATCAGGTAACAAAGTCCCAGTCTGTTTTATTTCTAACCCAAATATTGCAAATATACAGAAAATTACCAGTACAAAGTTAAACACATCCAGATTTATTTACACAATGCTAAAGAAATTTGAGTTTTGTTTCCATTTTGTGGAATTTTATTATGGGGTCTGGCTTTGTTGTGTAAATGACATGGGTTATTGAGACTTGATTATCCCACCTCACATGCAATTTTCTGTTCCAAGGAACAGAAGACTGGTTTGTTTTTTAGCGCACATGCAGTAATGATCTTAATAACTGCTTTACACTTTAGTAGGAAGGCAGCTGTCCCCTAGTCTGGGGAAGAGGCAGAGATAAAGAACAAGAGGGACTACATGCACAGAAAGGGAGCAAGAGACAAGAGGGGGTTGTACAACAGGCACATGGGAACCCTGAGCATTTCTGTGCATGAGGATTAGGAGGAGGGTACGACTAAACCCTCTTCCCTAGATGTCCAAACACAGGAGGTGGGCAGACTATCAGGAACATTCCGTCACCTGACCACAAACGGAGGGCATGCAGAAGAGAACTGCAGTGGAACCTGGGACACATCAATAAATCATTAGCATGTACACTATACAGTTTATACATGTATATATGTACATATATATAAAGGTACAGATTAGTGTGTTATTTTCTATAAACAAGAACACTTAAGAATGCACTGGTGTGAAAAAATGCATACAGCAAGTTGAAGACAATTTCAAATTCATGTTCCGATCCTTGTTATAATGTGATGTAACCAGAAAATCAACATGCTGCTGCGATTTCAATCACCCTTCATGAGGGTGAGGCCTGGGCTCTGCTGGGCAGGATGGTGCTCCCAGAGCCGCCTGAGCTGGGCAAATGGTGGTGGATGGGACAGAAGGCCTGGCACCTGCTGACTGTCAGGGCTGAAAGTCTGGCCCTTCCCATCACTCCATCATGTGGCAAATCTGAAACTTTGGTTTTGTTCAAGGGACATTAGTCTATGCTTATTTTCCAGCTTGAGAGAAGGTAGTAGCAAAGTTGAAAAGCTGAATCTCTTCCTATTTGAGTAGTTCCAAGTCTCCTGGCTTCAAGTGGGATGAGGGGGCTGTACAGACAATTAGCAGGATGAGTTCTGAGCCAATGTACATAGGGGCAGGCTCTTCAGAGCTCTCCTAAAAGGGGAGAGAATCTACCTGGATGATTTTCCTGGAAAATAAAGAACTGACTAAAGGCAGGCCAGCCCTGCACCTGGTTTGGGTCTGGACAAGCCAACACTCCTCTCTGTATCCCTGGTATTGTGACAAAGGCCTCGAGAGAACCAGCAGGAGCTGGAGGTGGCCAGTGAATTACTAAAATGTCAGGGGTGAAAAGCTAGCGTGGGCATGTAGAGGCCCAGAGGCAGATCTGGCAGGTTCTATGTGATAACTAATCTATTGAATCTCCTGAGCCCAACCTAGAACAGCCACACCCTCTACACACTTTATTCTTCTAAGTGTGTTTCCGTCCAAATGTCAGCCCAGGTGTATGCATCCCTGGTCTCTGGTCTCACTGGAAACCAGAAGCCCCCTCAGGTCTAAGATACCTGACCACAGAGCAGGAAAGATGGCAAGTTCTCCACCTGGATTTAAGAGCCCAGACCCACTTTGGATGGTCTGATATGTCCAATCTCTCTTATGATGCTAAATTTTATTGCTGAAGCCACTAGAAATCATCTCTTCCGCTACTATCAAGCCTGGGACATTCTATAATGATATGCTATACTTGACTTTCAAAGATAATGCTCCTAACCCAACATCAGTAGGACAAATTAGAGATCTGTTTTTCTTAGATGCAATCATGGATTTAGGCTGTTTTGATCACTGGCTGAGGACATATACTTGTGAGTGAGCAGACTGATGTAGAACACTAACTAGCTGAAAAGGGAATACACCAGACTTGTTAGCAGTCCTCAAACCAACTGAGCCAGCTAGCCAGCTAGGGATGGGAAATGAGAATGGAGAAAGTGACTCACAGCGGAGAGTTCATTCCTGCACTCTTGATGAGGTGAGAAGCAGTTTCTAAACATACTACTATAAAAGCTACCATTGTTTTTAGCCAGGAAAAACAGAATAAAAATTTTATCAAGGTGGCAAAAGGGCACTAAACACTGCTCTGAAAGAAATGACACTGATTCCTGCCCCACAGAACAGCCAGTCTGCAAGGAAGGAAGAGCCTGTTCAGGGAGGCAGACCTGCACACACACAAGTTCCAGAGTTCATGTTCCAGCCCACATTGCTTGTGATATATGGGGGCCCCGAACAGTTAACTCAGTTTTTGTACCTCAGCTCTATCTCCTAAAGGTGGTAATTACAACCCTAACTTTTCTTTATTTCACAAGAATGTTGAGGTTCAAATGACATATTGCAAGTGAAGCTGCTCTGAAAACTGCTAATTTCTATAGGCATCCCAGGTATCATTATAAGCAAAGAGCCCTACTTATATGCTTAGAGAAGAATATTAACTTTCCTATATCTTAAAGCTGATTAGCGAATCACCACATCTCAGCACATCTACCCCAGTGAGTATATGCTAGGAGGAAAGGTGTAGGTGAAGTAGATCTTTCCTGGACATCAAATTCACTTTGGCAGGCCCAGCTCAGTGGCTGAGCATCGCCCCATGAACCAGGAGGTCAGAGTTTGATTCCTGTTCAGAACATATGCCGGGGTTGTGGGCTCGATCCCCATTAGGGGGCATGCAGGAGGCAGTTATCACATAGAACCTCTCATTCATGTTTCTATCTCTCTATCTCCCTTTCTCTCTGGGAAAAAAAAAGTTAAAAAATTCACTTTGGGCAGGAGGTGAGGATGTCTGGGACAAAGGCTGACACTATATCCTTTGTGAACTGGTTTATCTTTGGAATTATTTTAAATTTAAAAACCTGTAAAATGAACGAGCTTTTCCTAAAAGATGAGTGCTCTCTGGCTCTAACAAATATTAAATCTCTTCACAAAAACTGCTTTATCTAATGTTATTTTCTAACTGAAGCTCATTGACTCATTTTATTTTATGCAGTTTCCAAGTCTCTACAATTCTCTGTCCACTCCCTCCCCCACTTTCCCTGCTGCTGTTATTCCATTCTGGTGAGGAGAGAACTTTAGCCATCTGCTCACACATTCTGACAAAAGTTAATTTGGCACATTTACTTTTTATGGACTTTATGGCCATAAAATGACCTAGCAGCAAAATGGCAGTTTCCAGAGAATGTCCCAATCATATTTATTGGGAGAAACCGTGACCAGCACAGCAGGTACCCAAGACCAAAAGCATACTATACTATATTCCTGTATAGCAAATATTCAAGCTGTATTAAAATTAATCATTGCAGCTTTCCATGACTAGATGGCCACCCAAAAATCCACCTCACTACATTCTATAATTGATTTAATTTGAAAATATGTCAAATGGAAAACTCTCTTAAATTTAAAATATGAACTTAATGCATCACACAAAATATCTTACACTGGAAGCATTTTCAGTTGGTTCAGCCAAAAGGTTCATGCCAATAAATTACTTGGCAAAGCTGGGGGAAAGGGGTAAGGAAGAGAGCTGGTAATAAAATTCTGATTTTAAAAATAAAGCCTATAAATCTGAAAACATGTCTAGTCCTGGCTCCACGTACAAGAGGAAGCACGTAAGCAGCCAACTGAATGATTCACCACTGAGCCAACACAACAGGTAGCAGGACCCATGGAAGTCCATGGTCCATCCTCAGGGGCTGCACCGCTGGGCAGACACACTGGGCAAGCCCTGCGCCCTGTCCTTGAGCAAGTCTGCTGGCACACATACAGCATGGCTTTGAAAGATCTTGGAGGAAGGAAGAATTTCTCCTACTCTATCTAGTCAGTTCTCTGCTGCTCCCTTCTTCCTGCCCCTAGTTAATATTGCCCTTTAAGTTCTCCTGATAGAGTGTCTTGGAAGCACATGGTTAAGTTAGACACCAAAGGGCAATTAACAAGGGTGTTGCCTAATTAAGCAGGAAAAAGGAAAATCACTGATCTATGGTCCCTGGAAAAAATAAACAAGGTGAGGATAGGGTGTGCAACATTCTCGGAGAAGGGCTGTCCCGAGGCAGAAAGGCTGCCCAGGTCATGCCAGTCACCAGAGCCTCCGTGTTCATCTCTGCAGCTGCTGCTTTGTGTCACCAGCAGAGTCTAGGGACTGCACCAGCTACTTGTGAGGGTTGGTGCTGGAGTTGGCAGGTGCCCTGGGGCAGGTGCCATGCAAAACATGCAGGAGTACAGTTAGTGAAATGTTCCCTTCAAATTCCATTTCATTTCCCTTAAAAAACAAAAACAAACCCAAAAGAACCCATACTTTGCAAAAAGACAGAACTTAAAATAAGAGGTTAAAGATTTAAAAATGTCTCCTCCTCTTCTCAGAGCCAATTGTAAGTGTTTAGGGTTTTGCCCCCTCCCACTCCCTGCATGTCTTTAGTAGAGGTCCTTCTGGCTTTGACGGAAGCAGCAGAAACAGAGCTGGATCCCTCGCAATGGGAAATTTATTTCCCCAAGTCGGAGCCACAGGGAGTGTAAGAGGTATTGCATTTCCTTTGAGGAGCTATTCCAGGAGGTCCTGAAAAGACATAGATTGTATTATTTAACAGACTAAAAAATTCCTATTTTGAAAGCAATTATCTCGTTTCTGGCTGATTGAGTCTTAGTCATTAAGTTTCTGCTTCTAGCCTATACCCTCATTTGCTTCAATCACATCTCAATCATGCACAGGAAAAGAATCACTCTTTTTTTTTTTTTTTGTACTTCTGGATCACCCTCAAGAAGAAATAGTCTCACCTCGTCTGAGTCATCATGATAACCACTTTTATTGGTGTGGGAGGCTGTGTCCAAAGCATCCACACCATCCACACCGTTAGCCTCTGCATGCTGCCGCAGCACCGAGTACCGATGCACCAGGAACCTGCGAACAGAACCCTTCGTGAATCCCACTGTGCCCAGGAGGGTGTGTTTATTATAGCACCAGCTTTTCTGAGTTTTACACACTCAGAGAGTAAGTCACGCATACAGGAAGCAGAGCCATAGTTGGCTTATAGGAAATAAAAGATCTGAGAAGACTTGGGCCTGACGTGTCAGAAACGTCACTAATTTTGCTAAGGGCAGACTCAACCATGTGCCCTTGGCTGACTTTCTGGTTTGACTGCAGTACCTTTGATTGACTTTCATGTTCCTTACCTTCCCCCGCAGACGTATTTCTTCACAATGAGCACTCCTGCTACGATTGTGATTAGCATCAATCCCACAGTGGCCAGGATAATTGGAATAGAATTTGACTTGGTATTCTTGATAAATGAAAACACAAACAAAAAAATTTCAGGCATGCATATTCTAGGACAGAATTCAAAGATGCTGCTGATCCCCCTCATTTCTCTGAGTGATCCTCAGTCTTTAGGCACTTCAGGATGCTACTCTTTTAGCCCCAGGTGAACCATCTCAGGAGGGTGAACCAGGAGAATCACACCTGGCAGAGGGTCACCAGAAATTCAGCTATCTTGAAGCTATCAGAATGATGCAATCTCAGTGGTGTCAATGTCAGAATTACACTGGAAGCCTTGGCAATTTCCTAGATCAAATGGTAATATGACTGTTTCCTATTATCACTGTTAATAAGTCTTAGAGCTTTTAAGGGTGGATCCAGAAAGGGAGATGACGGTAACAGTGGGCTAAACGGGTCTAGAACAGCCATCAGCTAGAAAGAAGTTGTGCAAATACTATATCACACAACACCAAGATTTATTTTTTTAATTTAATTTTGGTATGTTTTTTCAAAATAAGCCTTCTCATATCATTATTTGAGTGTCATCTGCTTGCTTCTGGGTGGGGAAATTAGGATTGTGTGTTTTCATTGTATCTAAGAGGAGGCGGAGCTGGATTCTTGTGGGCAGGAGTCCTGTGCAATCACACACACAAACCCCCTGAGGACAGCCCCCGGGAGTGCAGATGGGGCACAGAGGAGGACCCTGCTCCCTAACAAGTACACATACCCACGCAGTCTTCTCCCTTTGCCTTCTTCACCTTGACCCTTGTCAGGCCCTCATCCCTCAGAAGTTAGAGGAGGGGCCTGCCCCAAGTCACGCTGCTGGTGTAGTGCTTCTTCATCAGGGTTTCTTCTTTACCACCCCCCTCAATTCCAGCAGATAGTCCAGTACTTTAGGTCTGTAGTCAGCCCTGGAATTTGCTTCTATATCAAAACCAGCCCATTGTTACCATCGTTCAGATTTTCATTGTGAACACACCTGGCATGACTTGGCTCAGAGATCCACCCCACCTATGGTCTAGTCCTTTACAGCCAAACTTTCATACACGTCCAGCCCTTTACAGCCAAACTTGTTGAGTCTTTTCCTCAAATGACCCCGAGCCTCAGAATGTCCTCAACGCTATGCTTCTAAGACTTGAAACCACTTTATGAAATACTATTTTTCCCCAACAAATAAGTTCTCAGTAGATGAGCTCACTGGGTTATATGCCATCCTTCTTCCTGACAGTTCCCTGTGCAAAGGGAAGCCTGACGGATCATGAAACCTCGCTTGAACCTCATCCACGTCTGCTTGGACATACCTGCTTTTCTGGGCTCAATAAGTTGCTTGTGCATTTCTTTTTCAAATCTTTCACTTCTCGAACTGGATTCACTCCGCCCTGGCATTTGTCTCCTGGAATTTTCCGGTATCTGAAAGGCAGAGAAAATTTGTTAACAGAATACAAGGATGCATTACTGAATTCTTGTCTATTTCCTGAAAACAAGATCTGAAAAGCTCCTCGTCCTTACACTGTCTTTCAGGCCTAGGGGGAGATCCACAGGGGTGTTTTGGGGGTATTTTGTGTATTTTCAGACCTGGCTACAGGGACATGCCTGCCTTTCTGTCTTACCAGACTGTGCCAAAGCACTGTGATCCAGGAGAGCACGTTAACACCCAGTTCGGAAATGGGGGGTGGGGGGTGGGGGAAGGGCAATGAGGCTCTGTCTAATATGATGGCTATTTAAATTTAAATGAAAAGACATTAATTCACTTTCTTAGTCACACTAGTGCCAATAGCCACACAGAGCTGGTGGCTACTCTACCAGACACAGAAGAATACAGAACATTTCCATCATCACAGGAAGTTCTATTAGACAGTGTTTCTAGAGCATCCTAAAGTCCTGCACATCTCTGTGAGGAGAAAAGCAGCCTTTTGGTCTGAACAGGTGTATTCATTTGTCACAGCTCACCCATTTGTGGTCAGCTGCTCCTCTCTGCCATACAGACAAAACTCCAGGTCGTGGCCCTTCAGCTCTGGCTGTTCCACACACTTGGAGTCATTTTCTGGACGAAAGTAGCCAAAATCACTGCAAGAGTCCACAAATAAAGTATTCTTTAAATTTGCTGAAAGACAGTAACTGACTAGCAATGAAGGTTTTTGTGGGGCAGTGGATGGTTAATATTCCAGTCCTGGGTTGCCAGAAAGTAGCTCAGGAAAGGCCTGTGGCATCTATACAGAAGGTCCATTTAGGAAAACAGACATGGAAAGGGCTTAATTGGGGAAAACAGCTATGGATTGGACCTGGTGGACTTAGGATTAGTAGCTGGGAGCACTGAGGCGGGGATTCCTGCACAGATGGCTCAGGCTCTGGGAAGGGAATGCCTGCCGCCTGCATGGGGTGGGGACTCATGCAACTAAGACAGAGAAATAGTGACAACAGCCACAGATCTAAATGTAGCAATTCTTTTATTTACCTCCAAATAACTCCTTATTATGTTATTTGGAGGTATACTATGGGATATTTGCAAACCTTTTTTGCCTTCTCCACTTCTGATCCGCTTAGCTTCTTAGATGGTCCTTACCGCCAGCGTGAATACCCTGTACTGCCCTCCAATCTATGCCAACTCTCCATAGCACCCCTATCGGCTTTCGTTTCGGTTTTCCACAAATAAATAACACTGCCTCCTCTCCGAGCTGACCCCTGCATGAGCATCCTTGGCCCATCCTTCCCACTGCCCTGGGGCCTAGCTTCACTGACAGCGTGGGAGGGACCATCAGTCCCACTCATCTGATGGCTTCTCTCTTCCTAACCCGTAAATGCAGGTGTCTTACAGGGTTCTGCAACTCTTCTCTTATTTTGTATCTGCTTTCCCTTTGTGGGCTTAACTATTTGTTACAACAAAAGCTTCCAGGTTTTACCTCTCTGGAGCTCTAATCCTCCAGTTCCAAATACCTGCTGGACATTCACCAATTAAATCATCTGCCAGAAGAACCTCAAATAAAGAAAATGTTCCAAATACCCACTTTCTCTGTTTTTGCCTATCATTTCCTTAGGTTTGTCCATGACACTGCCTTCCGTCCCCCATTTGGACCCTAGTATTTTTTTTTTATCGCTACTGTGGCTTCCCCTCACGACCTATCTTCCAGCACACCCTTCCTGCTCACTCACCCGTGCACTGGCTTTACTGACCTGCTTCTTCCCAGATGCACAGGGTCAAACCCTACCACTTGTCAGGGCTCAGCTCAAATGCCACCTCCTCAGCACAGCCTCTGACCCACTCTGTCAGCGCTAGCTGGAATAGTGTCTTCTCGCCCTAAATCCCTGGGGCATTGCCACCTTCTGTTTCACAACATGATTATGTGTATCTCGTCCAGAGAGTCCGCAAGAAACCTGTTTCCACTTTGCACTGCCCTTGCTCAGCAAGTATTTAGTGGATATTTTGAGGAATATAAAACTGCTGCTTGTACTTCAATATTTTTCTGACAAATATTTCGGGGAGAGGGTAGGGAGGACAAAAGATGTAGAGGGCACCACTCTTCCAAGAGCAGGGGAAACTTCTGGGGAAACTTTTAGGTAGTCAAGATTTCAGGGAGAGTATCTTTCCCACTCACACATGCACATTTCCCAAGCACGTGTGGCACAGCGTGGGCTCCGGGACTCCACTGCAGGTCCCAGCTCTGCCACTGTCTGGATGAATGGCTGTGGGCAAGTTAGTCATAATCTCTCTGTACTTTGTTACTTCTTCCCTCTGTGAAAGGGAAGGGACAACAATGCCCTCGCACAGGCTGCTGAGATTAAGTGTAGTAAATTGCTCAGGACAGTGCCGATACAGTCAGTGCTCAAAAAATGCAGCTGCTGTCATTACAGCTACACGGTGATCAAATATAACATGCCCTCCCGGAGCCTAGGCTTTATGGTGGAGGCAAACCCGTACACAGTGATTAAAACACGGTAAGAGCTGTGTCAGGGCTTTTGGGGGAGCCTAGAGGAGGGGAAACTGGAAGGCGTTAAAGAGGTGCTATCTGAACTAAGCACTAAAGGAATCCACCAGGCATGGGGTCAGGCAGGGACGTGGGACACTTTGCAGGCTGTGGAGCAGCGTGTCCAATGGCTAGGGGCTCTGGAGAAGCGCAGCATGTCGGAAACCAGATCAGCAATGAAGAGCCAGCCCAGGTGCAGTCAGGGCTGGGGACAGCCCTTCAAGTTTCCCAGTATCTCTAGCGCTGCTGTAACAGAACACCTGATCGGAGTGCACTTCCCCTGTGGAAACAGGGAGGAGGACCTCTGGCCATTCCACAGACAGATAGGAGCCACACAGGAGGACCCCACAGGGTCAGACTTTTGCTTGGTCCTATATTCTGTCACCTGTGGTTTGAGAGAATGTGACAAGTTCCATAAGATTACTATCTATGATGTGAATCAGTCCCTCTTATTTGCCCTAAGTTACTTTCCTTAGACTACCTAGCGACTCCTTCACCTTTATATCATCAACTAACCCCCTGCCAACCACATCACTGATCCTTAAGCCTGGATGGTCCTGAGTCTGGGAGTTCACCTTGATGGCTTCTAAACCTTGATGGGACACAGGGACCTAACTATACTGCCGTCACCTGGTGTCTCAGGATAGAGCACTCTTTCTGCCTTCAGTCCTGAGGATGACCCAAAACCGAAGTGCCTCCTGCTGAACTCAGGCTTTCTGGTTCTCTGCTCAAGTCCTATGTCCTCTTAGCTCCTGTGCCACTTCCCTTGGTGTTTTTATCTCATCGCCTTCTCTATTTTTAATCTCGTCCTCCTTATATACTTCCCTCCTTACTGCCATTGCCAAATCAGGATTTCTGGGGGTTGCGGCTGGCTCTGCCCAATAATTAACTATCTGATATGATAATACCATCTGTCCAATTATTTATGACTTTAGTTCCCTTCCTCTGTGCCTAAATTTCCTTAATAAGAAGCAGCAGTTCTCTGCTCTTGGAGAAGGAGGGAAAGGAAAGGATTGAAATATTGTTCAGTCCTATAAGACAATGGTGTTCCCCCTCCTCTAGCACGGGAAAGGGGCTGAGGGAAGCCGGTACCAAAGGAAGTCCTCCAGGGAGCAGAGACAGACGGATGGCTGCTTGGTCACTGCGTAGTCCCGGCCGTTCTGACAGACGGATGACTTGCGTAGCCGCAGGAACTGTTCTTTATAGCCTAAAATGCAGCCATCTCCATAATCTCCAGGGTCTGTGGAATGAGCCAGCCATATCATATAGTCCCTCTCTTCACCTAAAGGAAAGACAGGTTGTTCAGGAAACTGCCTGGCCCAGAGCTCACCTAATGAGGCAGCTGCCGGGCGCCAGGAAGAACCAGGAGAGGAAGAGTGGGGATGTCTCACTGAACCCATTGCTTCATTTTGGAATTGTGAACCAACGTTACATTAGTTGAAGCCTACTGGCAATGGTTATTTCCTCAAACCAAAGGAGGATTATTTGCATCTCACCTCTCATTTGAGTATCAGGAAAACTCTTATTTGTTTCAAAATGGGAAGCTGGATGAGGATCTCTAGAGTTCCTTCCAAACTGAGAGGCTGCTGGCTAGATGTCTTGTCACTGGTGCCCTTGGTCAGCAGGAGCTGTCAGAGGTCAGCAACCAGACACTTTCCTTTAGGACAAGATGCCAATGAGCCAAAAGCATGGGTTCAATTTCACTGTGGGTTCACTTGCTTCAAACAGGAGGGGAAACATTCTGTCTCCAGACTTTTAACTCTAGTCGACTGGATGTCAAATGAAGACTGTGGATGACAGTTAACCTGTAATATCATCCACTCCTGGAAAAAGGACTTAGAGGCTAAGGTCTAAAAACCTATGGATCAGGTGATTTTTAAAAAATACATATTTTTTATTGATTTCAGTGAGTTAGACTGAGACAGAAACATCTATGATGAGAGAGAATCATCTATTGACCACCTCCTGCTCACCTCCTACTGGGGATTGAGCCTACAACCCAGGCATGTGCCCTTAACTGGAATAGAACCCGGACTCTTCAGTCCACAGGCCAATGCTTTATCCACAGAGCCAAACCAGCCAGGGCCTATGGATCGGGTTTTTATCCTTCGGGATATGAAGACTAGCACAGAGCCCGTTAAAGAGCAGGTGCTTAACAAATCTTTTCATAACGTTAAACTTTATGCATTTTCTTCTTCCAGTGAAAAGAAATTAAACTGAATTGGCTATTTAGAAAAATGGGCTTACAAGTTTTTGGTAGAAAAGGTCAAAGAAGACACTCACAGTTCCTTTCAAGGATATCTTTAAAATCAATGGTGTAGGAGACCCACTGGCGTGTCAGGAAAGATTCAGTGAAGCCCCAGATGCTGATATTCATGGACCTTGCTCCAGGTTCCGAAGCCAGGCCGGTAAAGTACATGGGCTTCTTGGTGAATGTATAGGTTTGCCAGCACTGACCTTCGTCTGTGGAGAACCTGAAACCCCAATCAGAGAAAGATCATAACAGAGGATCAACATTTATGGGACTATCAGGAAACCACTTTGCTGTTAGGTCCAAATCATTTGCTGTTAGCTGATGGCTTAGTTAACAAGGTAAGAAAAGGGATTCATTCAGAGTGTATGGAAGAAAATGCATTTACAAAATTTCTTTCCAAGGAAAGAGAAAGTAATGATCCATGGTAAGTATGGGCTTCCAAATCAACAGACATAAATGATCTATTATATTATGAGCTTTTAACTTAAGGAGTCATTCCCATCCAGAATGCTCAGACACTTCCATAATAATCTTTTGGAAAGAATAATATTTTAAAAGTGACAAAAAAGTGCTAACTTGAGGAAGTCAGAGGAAAAAGCAAGCCATTTAATCTGAGTTGCTCTAAATGCAATCCCTTTCAGAACCTTTCCTACAGTTCTGCAGATGGCACAGATTTAAATGAGGGCCTGCAGCTCCCCCCCAGTGAACTGGAACACTTCCCACATTGCCCTTTATGCAGAAAGTGTGGGTGGAGCTGAGCTCATGCATACTTAATCACATTGATAGGATGGTTGGTTTGCTCAATGGCCACGATGATGCCTCCGGAATCCAGGATGGTGTAATAGTGGGGTCCTTCCAGCATCTTTGTCCAAGAGTAACCCCCATCATCTGAGATGTACACGTCCGGGATCATGACTGAGATGGCATCTCCCACGCTACCTGCAACACAATCCATCGTCTCCTCAGCACAGAGTGGCAACAAAACAGACAGGACTTACTGCCAAGAGGCTAATTTTGAGTAAATTCTGATTTCTTCCCATCGTGCCTCTTGTGATAGAAAAAAGGCCACTGAAATGTGGGAAAGGGGAACGTCATGTTACTCTCTCTGATGGGAGTCTGAAATAACCCTTAGTACTATTATCATGCAAGAAATCCTACAGAGGATGGTAAAAGCCATGTTCGGTGGTTTTCTTACAGGGGAATGAAGTCTGAGTGTCGGTGTGCTCAGCTACTTCCCGAGAAGGGGAAGGGAGGCTCCTTACCATGTGCGATGACTATGCCCACGGCATTTGGCTCTGAGAGGGGGGCCATTGGAACGTTTAGTTTTTGGGAGATACTGTAGGAAGCATGAATATGAAGGCTGCACTGTGAAAAGAAACCAAAAGCTTAGATTAAGACCAAAGGCAGAATTTTTTGCTCATCTATTAGCCTTCTAATAATTTCTAACCCAGACTTCAGTGGGATACTCTTTTTTTTTTTTAATTATGGTAAAATACACATACCATGACAATTACCATTTTAACCATCTTTAAGTATGCAGTTCGATAAGTGTTAAGTACATTCACACTATTGTGCACTACCACACTTCTCTGGAACTTTTTTTTCATCGTGCAAAACTGAAACAATATCTCTCCATTTCACACAGATAAACCTGATGAATGCCTGACGTATTTCAGATACTATACATGACGTGCTGGTGATTAGAAATAAGACCCAGTTCTGTGTGTGTGTGTGTGTGTGTGTGTGTGTGTGTGTGTGTGTGTGTGTGTTTTAATCCTCATCCAAGGATATGTATAGAGAAAGAGGAGGAGCGGCAGAGAGGGAGAAAGAGAGGAGAGAGAAACATCAATCAGTTGCCTCCCATACATACCCCAACCAGGGATATAATCTACAACCCAGGTATGTGACCTGACTTGACCAGGAATCAAACCCACAGCCTTTTGGTGTACAGGATGATGCTCCAACCAACTGAGCCACCTTGCCAGGATCCAGCCTTGTCTTTAAGAAATATTTCCCACCCTAGATGGTTTGGCTCAGTGGATAGAGCGCTGACCTGTGGACTGAAGGGTCCCAGGTTCAATTCCAGTCAAGGGCACATGCCTGGGTTGTGGGCTCGATCCCCAGTAAGAGGTGTGTAGGAGGTAGCCAATCAATGATTCTCTCATATTGATGTGTTCTATCTTTCTCTCCCTCTCCCTTTCTCTTTAAAATCAGTAAAAATATATATTTTTAAAAAAGAAATATTTCTCTAAAACTAGAAGAGGTATAAAGCAGAGCATAAGTTATGCTTTAAAGAGGTTCAAAATTGTTAAAATGTTAATTTTATGTCTTTTATATTTTACTACAAAAAAAAAGAGGTTCAGGCAAACTATTAATAAACCAAGAGGAATGGTTGATTCTAACTGAAGATGGGCAGTGAGGGTGGTGAGGATGTCACAAGTTCTAATAATCTGAGTGGGGAGACAGGCCAGCTTTCCCAGGAACAAGAGGGCAAGGCCACAGGGGCAGGGGCAGTGATGAAATGGGAAGTGGGGGTTGCCAGAGCAGCAGAGGATGATAACAAGGGGTGTGTGTGACAGTGATGCAATGGGAAGTGACATTGAAAAGGCAGAAGACAATCTGCCGGAGAGGAGATGCCCTTCAGTCACCAGGTGGAAGCCTTCACTCACAGGCAAAGGGAGCCAGGAAGTATTGAGGAGTGAGGGGCATGGGAGCGGGAGGAGAGCCAGGCAAGCAGAGGCCACTGGAGGCCCGCCCTCCTGGGGCGTACAGGGGGATGGGGAAAAGGGAGCAGAAGGGGAAGACTCCATAGTACTCTGAGTAGAAAGGAGAGTGAGCATTGTGGGTGTGGAAGGTACACTTAATCTCACACTGTGAGGCTCTGAAAACCCAGCCTAGAAGGGTAGAGTGCCTGTTAGCCACAGGTATTGAGGAGAGCTTAGAACTACTCAAACTGTCATTTTTAAAAGAAAACTCTCCGAGTGCTTCCCTAAGCACCTCTCAAATTCTGAAAGAGCTTGTTTCTTTTTTCTTTCTCTTGCCTGTCAAGACCTGTTACTCGGAATCTGGGATATCCCAAGCAACGCCTTCGTGTTTCTAGTTTTTGGTCTCTCCTAGGGACCACATGCACCCACCAGCTAGGGGAAAGCAGAGGGGAAGGCACCCAAGGCAAAGGGGAAGACAAGGCCAAGTTCTCTTCTCTTGTTTCTGGCCAGCATGGTTTTGCCCAGAATGGCTGGCCTATGGCTTTTGCAGAATTCCTGTTGACTCATAGCTGCTGTGCTGACTCCTAACTAATCCCCAACCCATATGTCCATTCTGTTTCCATTCAGCAGTTTTGCAAAACACAAATGGTTAGCCCTGTATTGTTTTTCTTTAGAAGATAATCCATAGAATCTTGGCCTTTCTTTGCAGTTCCTAGTTCCTACGTTCTAAGTTAATTTCATTACTCTTATTTTCAAGCTTTCCACCTTACTTATAACCCTAATCAAATACTAAACTTCACTATTCAAAGGCCTGATACAGTAAGAGCAGAACAGAGTGGCTGCTCTGCTCTAAATACATAAGACAATTGGAGTAAAACAAACCTCATTCTTATTTTTTGCTGTAGCATCACATTCACTGTTCTCAGGCTTCCTCAGGTGCTTCCACCTTCCTCCTTGGTCAAAAGTGATCATAGTCTGGATAGAATTATCTGAATGGGAAGAGAATAATATTAAGCCCTATACACTGGAAGAACCCCAGTAAGTTCTGTATCTCATTGCACAACTCACTCCTAACTAAGATCATATAGCTCCATTATAACCCAGGAGTCCCATAAGCTTATAACACTCAGCAAAGTGACTCAGTGTTGGTGAGTATCTGAGCAGCACTCTACACATGGTATCTGAAGAAAGCTTCTCACCTGAACAGGACCCGGCAGATATCAGAAATCATCTAGACTGACACTTGAAAAAGGATTTTTTATCTCCTTACCAACGCAAGCAGGCTAAATTCCATTCTCTTTCCTTCTTTGCTTGTCTTGGAAGTAAACTCTACAATCAGAAGGCATCCTGGTCTTAACTTTACAGAAAAGGTCAATGTGCTCGGCTAGTCTTAGGGAATCTCAAGATTTGAATGTTATGTGCATAAGTGTGAATTAATAGTTCTTATTGTTTGCTTCTCCAATACCCCTATCCTATCCCTCATACATCTTTTCTTTTTCTCTCTCTCCATGTCTCTTCCCCATTCTCTATTTTCAATGATATAAACTGTTTTAGGCTTTAATTCAGAGATAATATGCTTTGACATTCCAAGTAAAATCAAATAAACAAGCAAATCAAGGCAAACTCATTTATTTACTATATGTATGTATTTTAATCCTCATCTGAGGATATGTTTTTATTGATTTTTTTAGAGAGAGGAGAAAAGAGAGGGAGGAAGATAGAGAAGCATCAATGTGAGAGGGAAACATTGATTGGTGGCCTCCTGTATGTGCCCTGACCAGGGGGTCAAACTTGCAACCCAGGTATGTGCCCCCAACAGGAATTGAACCCACAATCTAAGTAAGTGCCCTGACTGGCAATGGTATCTGTAACCTTTTGGTGCATGGAGGACATTCCAACCAACTGAGCCACACCAGCCAGGGCTCAATAAATATTTTTGTGTGCCCACCATGTCAAACAAAACTGAAAAAGAAACAAAACAAAACAAAACCACACATAACAAAACACCACATCTTGTGACACTACATTTTAGTAGGCTGAGACAAATACTAGAGGTGGTAAACAGGTAAATTACATAGTATGTTAGAAAATGGAAAAACCTAGAGGGGGACTGACAGTGTGTCTGAGTAGGGGAGGGCAGTCTGAAATTTCAAATAGAATAGTCAATAGCAGGTCTCATTCAGAAGTAAATATAAGGAAGAAGGTGTCAGCCCAGCAGGCATCTGGAAAACAGAGAACAGTCCATGCACATTTCCAAACTACCAGCGTGTGAACCTGGTGGATTTAAGGAGACTGCAGAGAACTCGGAGCTGGAGTGACTAAAGTAGAGGGAGAAGGGAGAGGGGAGGGAGAGAGGAGGTCAGGGAAGAAAAGGGGCCAACATCACTTGGCTTTGTGGACCATTGCAAGATCTTTACAAACACAAAGAGCCCACCTCCTATAAAAAATAAAAATAAAAACGTAAATAAATAAAACCTTCAGAGACTTCCTGGGGTGGTCAATCTCTGTGCTCTAGGCTAGAGAAATGTGTGAGTTTGCATAAGTAAGCTTTAATAAAGGTGAGCACTGCAAAGCACTGAGCACAACGCAAGAAATTGGCTGGCTACTGCTGTGCCCTCTTTCTTAGTTCTGTTTACCATAACTTACTTAAAGTACAGCCAGAAGTTACACAGGTAGGCTGCTGCCTAAGATGAGCAATCTTACTGTGGAACCGGGCCATCAGTCTCCCCAAAGGCCTCAATTCTCACATGTTCAGCTGAAGGACAGCTGTGCTAAGCAAGACTCACCTTCAGAGAGCACACTTGTTATGTAGACCCCACGGAGGGAAGTCACATTGGTGAAGTCAGTCTCGCCACCAGTGGTGGTGTAGAGATGTCGGTCCAAGGATTTGGAATAGACAATGCCTCTATCGTCCGAGGTAAAGATTGTGCCAAACCCAGTATCTAAAATAGGCAAACAAACAAAAACACTGTCTTGGGAGGGAACAGAGATCAATAAAAGTCTAACCATACACATGACTGAATCATTACACATTAGCCAACCATTTCTCTTCATGATGTAGACACAGATCAGAGATTCAATCAAGGTTTGATACTCAAGATCTTTTTATTTTATTTTATTTTGATACTCAAGATTTTTGATACTCGTGCCCATCTTTAATTCTAGTATCCCTGTTACTTAGTGCAGATGCTGAGTTTGTTGAATGAGTTAATCAGATGCTACAGAAAAGCTCTTCCTAGATATATTTTGGTGGCAGAGGCTGTATTTAGATTCATAGCTTACACTTCTGTAAATCTTTCCCCTCTGGAGCAATGCTTTTCAAACTGTCTGTGATGAAAGATCAATTTTTAAATTTCTACTATGTCATAAACCAATGCTTTTGTAAAATTGCATAAAAATTTATCACTAGAACAATGAAATAACCATCTCTTTTTATCATTAAACACATATAAAATTACTTTGTCAAATAGCTGTAAGAGCTTCTAAAGGCATGCGCTCACTTCCTCTACTTATTTGGTAACAGAGTTTGCAAATCAGTACCCATCCTCTGAGCATTCTTCGAGTAGCACTGTGGTAGACCATTGGATATGCACACAAACAAGATCATGTCAAAACAAGTGGCCCTTTTAACAGAGGTTACACTTTCTAAGACAAAATACTCAGTAGGGCACTAATAAATTCCTAGGGGTAAGAAAAAAAGCTACTAAAAATAGGGCTTACAGCTTCAATCTCTATGAAACTGAAACGCTCTTACCTCCAGGTTCGTCTACGTGCATGAACACCATGTCATCATTGGCTGCTAGAATAGAGTAGAATTGTTCCTGCCCCACAGAGGGCAGCTGGGCCATGCTCCACGTGTCTCCTTGATCAGTTGACACATGAATCCTTCTTGTTGTATCCTGGAACAAATGCCAACATATATCTTTTTAATTTTCTTCCAAGGTACCATGTACAGGGACATCCTAAGTACATTTTAATAACTAGTGGCTTGGTGCAGAAATTCGTGCATGGGGGGCAGGTGTTCCTCAGCCTGGCCTACATCCTTTCCAACCTGGGACCCCTCAAAGGATATCCTTCTGCCAGTTTACAGGGATCGGGCCTAAACTGGCATTTGGACATCCCTTTCACAATCTGGGACTGCTGGCTCTAGCCACTCACCTGCCTGCCTGCCTGCCTGATTGCCCCTAACTACTCTGCCTACTGGCCTGCTTGCCGCCAAATGCCCACCCCCCACCAGCCTGCTCACCACCAACTGCCCCCCATGCCAGCCTGCTCACCCCCAGCTGCCCCCCCTGCTGGCCTACTCGCCCCCAAATGCCCCCCTGCTGACCTGTTCACTCCAAACTACCCCCACACTGTCCTGATCACCTCCAACTGACCTCCACTAATGGCCTGCTCCCCCATCCCTCAACTGGCCTCCCTGCTGGTCTGCTTACCAATGGCCCTGCCCCCCCCCTCCAAGCCTGATCACCCACAACTGCCATCCCAACCTGGCCTGATCATCCCCCAAGTTCTCAGCTCCTCCTTTTATAATTTTTTTCCAGCACCTCCTTGAGCAGAGTCCAGGGCTGGCTGGAAGCAAGTATCTGGGATTTATCTATCTTCTATAATTAAAACTTTATTGCCTTGGGCAGAGGCCAGGGCCGGCCAGGGCAGGTGGGAAGCTTGGCTTCCTCTATCACCAGGGCAACCCAAGCCTCCTGCTTGTTCCAGCTCCATCGCTGCCGCCATCTTGGCTGGGTTAATTTGCATGCTCGCTCCTGATTGGCTGGTGGGCATGGCTTGAGGGTGTAGCAGAGGTACAGTCAATTTGCATGTTTCTCTTTTATTAGTGTAGATTATAAGTATCATTATCCATTTCCTCACTGGGTATAATTTATATAAATGAAAGGTCCCAGTATCAACTACCTAGCAATTTCCTGATTTGGCTTTATAGCCATTCACATATACGTGTTCAGATAATTCTTAAGTGCTGCATAAAGATTTGGTCTCTTTGACACAGTCTCGGCATAATCCAAAGAAGTAGATAACGAAGGGTCTAGAAAATGGAGATGAAAGCCAAGGTTGGGCGATCACAAGGAAGTCAACATGTGACATCTCTTTATGGAATTCTCTCAGAACAGCCATATGAGGGGAATGTGCACCAGCTGGGAAGAGGCCAAGGAGTATAAGAAATTAATAAAAGGAATCTCATTAGGGCTTTAGCTGTTAAAAGGAGTCTGTTAAGGATATAATTAACACCTACTTCCTGATAAATAGCTACTTTAAAATGCAACTAGATACAACTAGACAGGGCATGAGACTGACTTCCAGGGCCTCTTTATTTTAAATACTCTTTAAAGTTCAGTGACAAGTACAGTTATGCATTTTTCTAAAACTTATACTTAGATGTTCACTTTGACTCTTACTCTCATTGTTATAGTTAGAAGTTAAAGTTCAAAAGCACACCGTGGAATTTTAGTTTTGTATAATTGTAGTACAGTGTAAGATGCTATGTCTGGAATCAGTCCGATTTCCACCAGGATTCCACCTGATGGTGACTCCAGGCAAATTACTCACATCCAAAACTGAATTCTTGATCTTCCTCCCCTAAATTTGCTTCTCCTATAGTCTTTGCCATTTTAGTAAGTGGTATCACCATTCAGCCAGTTGCTCAGGCCAAAGACTCTGAAGTTATCTTCAGTTTCTCTCATTCTCTTACAATCCACATTAATCCATCAGCAAATCCTATTGGCAATACATTGAAAAACACACCCACCATTTCACTACTTGCCGCTTCTCTCCCCTCACACTGCTCTAACAGCCTTCCTGCTGCTCTGGCTCTGCCATTCCTGCCCCGGCAGACTACTCTGCCCATACTTATTCTGTCAAAGAAGTCAGATTAACCACACCCTGCTCACAACTCTTTCCCAGCTTCCTAACAAGAATAAAAGCCAAGGTCTTAATCACCACCTACAAAGGCCCTGCATGATCTAGCTGCCGGTTCCCCCTCTTTGGACCGCCCTTGTCACCTTTCGATATGTCAGGCATGCTCCAGCCTGAGTCTGTGCACGTACTGCTCCCTGAGCCTAGATGTCCACACAGCTGGGTTCTCACCCCAGTCAGGTCTCAGAGAGCACGTACAAACCGCCCCACCTAAAACAGCCCTGCTCCAATTCCTGTCACCTTCTATTTCCTTATGCTGCTTTACATTTCATTGTAGCTTTAATCCTGACCTGACATTACATCATATTTATTAGCTCAGTATCTATCTCCCCTACTTAACTATAAAGTCAGTGAACAGGACATTTATTTGTTTTGTTCACTGTTACATACTCAATGAATGTTACCTATTTCTATTATTATTACTGAAGCAAATGGATTGCTCTTTTCATATATCCAAGTAAAGCCCCAAAACTGCACCTAGGTATCCCAAAAGAGATACCAGAATTCGTGTAGGGTGACAGGTTGAAGTGCCAGACTAGCCCAGAAGAGTCAATAAGTCTCTAAAAGAATCGCCTGCAAATCTTAGAGTGATATTAAATACCAGTGGCCCAGTACACAGATTTGTGCACATTGAAAGGAAATTAATTAGAAGAAATATTTTAATATCGCTATCTGCCCTTTCTCTATAATAGAAGTGTCAGAGAGGAAAGAAAATTAGTGAAATGTATATGAAAATAATATATAAATTGATTAATAAACATGATATAACAACAAAGACATAATATAAAAACATGATATAAAAACATTGATAAAAACATTGACTGATAAATTGATTAAACTTATTCTACTATCTCCCCGTATACCACATTAAGAGTAAAACACTTTCAGAGTGCTTGACTAACTTCCCTTGTGATGAGTATTTACAATACAACTTTAACATCACATGCTCTTCAAACTCAAGATAAAGCAACATATAACTGACCAGGTCCAAAAACGGGTTCAGGTAGGAATATTCCTATTCTGTCTAGAGTTTGTCCTTGTGATTTATTAATAGTCATCATAAATGCTGGCATCACGGGAAACTGTCTTCAAATTAATTTAAATGGGAGGCCAGTGTCAGAAGGGGACAGTTGTGCCAATAGTTAGTATTCGGACATACTCTGTCAATGCCACCACTTTCTTTCAGCTTATGTCAACAAAATGTCAACAAAAACAACCAAATTCACAATCAACAATGACAGATTGAAACACATGTGCGTGATTGGTGCCAGTGAGAACTTTAAATGTATTGCACATGTGTGAGTCAACATTTATTTTTAAATTGCCAGTGTGCTCATATGTACCAGCCAGTCAGTATGGTTCGTCACTTAGCATTTCATATATATTAAGAGGCCCAATGCACAAAGATTTGTGCAAGAATGGGCCTTTCTTTCCCGTCTGCCGGCAACGCCTTCGCTCAGGCCAGAGCCACCTTTCTGCCTTCCCATGCTGCCCAGAGGCCTGAAAAGGCTGGGATGGTGTGGAACACCCCCCCGGCCGCTCGGCCTGTGTATGCAAATTAACCAGCCATCTTTGTTGGGTTAATTCGCATACTCACTCCTGATTGGCTGGTGGGTGTTGCAAAGGTATGGTCAATTTGCATCTTTCTCTTTTTATTAGTGTAGATTGCAAAAAGGCAAACAACTCTGTCAGTACAAGGAATAAAAGGGATCTATAGGAAGCATCTTTACATGAACATTAGAACCCAAAGAAAAGAGGCAAATACCCACCTTGTCAGCCATCACAGAGGCAAAAAGGAAACGTCCCCCAAGACCAAATGAGTAGATTTTCACACCAATGGTTTTGAAGCTTTTACCCAAGTCTGAAGTCCTCCATAATTCCAGTGCCCCAAGGTCAGCTTCTTAAACAAGATGTAGTAATTAGAATGTCACTTGCTCGTGAGCCTCTAGTTCAGAGAGCTGTTTTAGAATTGTTCTGTATTTTACAACTACAGGATTTCTAATCCTATGCATGTTAGTCAAATGGGATATAAATTGATGTGGCATTAGGCACAGGGAATTCACATGTGGGTTTTATTTTTGTACATGTGAGGTTATTCCTTGGACAGATTGAGTTAATTCCATAAATGTTACATAAAAACATCATAGCCACAGCATCCTGTTTACTTTCTTCATGACATAATTTAAAATTATCTTATTCTATTTTAAGTTGTTTAAGTTTTGGTTTTCTTGTTGATCATCTATTTGAATTTAACTCCATGAGAGTAGCCTTGGGTCTCTTGTTCTCTTCATCCTTAGATAGTGGTTAGCATATTACTGCAAGTGCTCAAATGAATAAATGAATGCATTTGTCTAATAAATAAATAAAAAATTATGCTGTCTGCTTTGAAACTGCCACTGATTGGAAAGCCACTGGCTTCCACTGATAAACACAATCCATGTTCTTTTGCAGAAATCTCAAGGCATTTTGATCTGTTACTGTTTGTAGCTTAATGTTTACTTTATGTAAATATACTGCTGAAATTAAGTATAGCGTCTCTGTGTACAGCCTGCAGTTTTATCTGATCTAGGCACAGTATAGCAATTAGGTTGTACTTTTAAGGTTTTAAAAAATAACAGCTACTTTAGCTATTAAAATTATAGAAGAATGGAAGGAACTTTGATATTTCTATCTCTTATAACCCCAAATATTCTACCATGAATGGATAGGACACGCTTCTGGGACTAAAATATACTTACTGCAGGAGCCATTCACATGGGTAGTAAAGAAGATGGTGTTTTCCGATCCCCTGCAATGAGGCAAAGACAGGGAAAAGACACAGTTCCAGGTGTTAACGCAACGTCAACATTAATCACAAAGCTCCAAGCAAGTCTAATAAGCCTGCTCCATAGGTACTAGTGAAAGCAGCAAATCTGGACTCTTTTTGACAGCTCATTGTCAGGGTTCCCCAGAGCCTGGCCCCAGGCATTTGCCACAGTCCACTGAACTTCTCTTCCAGCTTGTCTAACTGGTCTACCTATACTCTCCAGATCTGCCTCTAGCATTTACTCATACTGCTTCCTTCCAAAATGCTTTTCTCTTGTGTAACCACATCTTAGCCTTGCAATCGCCAGCCTGAAGCTTACCATCTAGCTCTTCCGGGAAGCTTTCCATGTTACTTCAGCTTCTTTGCTGTAAACTTCTAGAACAGAGGTTCTCAACCAGGGATGATTTTGCCCCCCAAGGGACATTTCTGGTTGTCACTTGCGGGGAAAGGGAAGTTGTTACTAGTATATAGTGGGTAGAGGTCAGAGATGCTTCTAAACATCCTACAAGGCCCAGGACACCCCCACAGCAAAGAACTGTCCGGTCCAGAATGTCCATAGTGCTGAGATGGGGCACTGCTGGAAAGCGCGTGCATTCCTCAGCCTCCCACTTAGCTATGCTAATCACTAGTGTGTGCATGTCTCTTCCACCACACTGTTGGTCAGGTACTAAGTTTTATGCTTTGTTGTTCCCCCTGAGAACCTAGCTTAATGCTTTGCATGAGCTAAATAATTTAGTTCTTTCATCTCAAATAGACAACTAGGTCAGAGGTTGAATTATTTAAACTCTAACTTGGAAAGGGAGTGAGTAGGGAACTCGATTCAGACCCTGATAGTACTTATAGATTAGCCCCAGCAAAAGGAGCTGGCTCTGCGCATGTTCTTTTAGAACTAGTTGTCAGCTCCTAGAGATCAAAGATCTAAAAGGTGAGTAAACAGTTATCAGCAACCCAGTTAGCTTATAGACACTGATCAAATGAGTTACAAAAGTAAAACATCTTATATAGAATATAAAATTCCATTTTAAGCCCTAACCGGTTTGGCTCAGTGGATAGAGCATTGGCCTGTGGACTGAAAGGTTCTGGGTTCCATTCAGATCAAGGACATATGCCTGGGTTGTGGGCTCAATCCCCAGTAGGGGTGTGCAGCCGATCAATAATTTCTCTCATCATTGATGTTTCTATCTCTCTCTCCCTCTCCTTCTCTGAAATCAATAAAGACTATTTTAAAAAAATACCATTTTAAAATAAGTCTCTAGTTTTAAAAATGACCTGTTTGTTTATTTTAGCTTTATTAAAGTATAATTGACAAGCGCAATTGTAAGGTATTTAAAGTGTACCTTGTGGTGATGTGTACATAAAGGCCAGTTTTAGTGATCAAAATTCCTATAGTCTTGATTATATCCTACAGTGAAACAGTTTAACTTAGTTACATTAAAGACTACTTCCTTCCATAAAAGGCCTTATAAGTAACAAACCCATAAAATGAAAACAGCTACGGCATGGGTACTAGAGTGGTGCTACAAAAACCTCACCTAACCAGCATTTTCAAGCAATATTTTTTAGTATTTTAGTGAATTTTGGTAGATATATTTGCCAATGTCTATATCACAAATTTTCCTGACTCCCTAAGTAGAGGACATTAAATATGAAACTCTCCCTTGGGATTGTGGGTCACTGAGCATCAACCCTATGACACTAGAACATGGTGTGCTCGTTAGAAGTTACTGAGGTGTATGCGCTCAGGATCTGGCACTGAATAATTTCAGCCTGTTATGTTCTCACTCTTTGCGCTGCAATTCTCCTGGCGTGCGCTTGCTGTCAGTACTCATGTACCCACCTCCGGTAACAATTTGCTATTAACTGGGAAACCAGATGAACAAATTTGCTGAAATTAGCCAAAGAGAAAGAACAAAGAGGCTCTAAGCAAGGGTCTGAGCCTAATCAAGAATTTTGGAGGTAGAAAGGCTCTTAATTCTTGTCAAACATCTCCCAAATTCCTCAAACAAATCTCTGCCTATAGATAGAAAGGAAAACTAAAGCCCAGAGGGGTTAAGCCACTGACAGCAGCAGAGACAGGTTAGGACAAAGGTGACTAGACTCCTCTACAACCCTTTAAGCAGGCGCCTGAGGGGTCCCTGAGAAAAGCGAATGAGTTTTGGTGCACAGGCGGTGTGACTGGCTTCGGGAAGCTCTCTGGGCTTTCTTCCTGATTCCTCATCACTGAAATGCGTCTCTAGATGAGGGGGTGTCCATATGGGGGAGCGGCGCAAGAAGTACATAAATCCCCAAATCAAAGCTGTGTTTTATGCTATTCCAACTGCAGTCACCACTGATGGAGAATAAACCTTTTATCAGTAGCAGCTGCCCAGTTGCGAGCCTTGTTTCCTACTTTATGTTGTAAGGTTTAGTGAGGCCATGTCTTCTCTTCTGGCTGACTGAGTAGCTCCTCCAGGCCAAGGCCTGTGCCATACCCCCTCTCGTATCCCTTGTGGCACCCTGAGAGTACTTGGCACACAGTAAGTGCTCAACGTTTACTCATGTGACTTTCGGCAGCACTGACAGGAACGGTTTAGAGCTCTGCACAGATGGAGTCTTCTGTTACTCACCATTTGGCCAAACACACTGCTTTGTGGATTTCTTCCCATTTTTCCCCAAAATTCTTGGACACCCACAGGCCATTCTGAAAGATTATAAATGACTTATCAAAATTCCAGCTTTATCCTGTGCAGCTGCTTGTATGACCTTTAATAATTCATACTAATCATCTGGGACAGTAAACACACACTGACGTTCCATCTGAGCTGCCTGAGCTCCAGAGACACATGGTTCACAGGGGCCCCTTGGGAGGCTGGAAAGTTCCGAATAACAAATGCTTAAGAAGTGCCTACTATGTGCCAGGCACTGTTCCAGACGTTGCATTTGGGGATACTAAGATGAGTAAGACACCCTCCTTGCTCTCAAGGAGCTCACAGTTAACTAGGGGCCCAGATAAAAACATGTGATACAATGGGTTAAGTGTTACAGAAACATGGTCTCTCGGGTAAGAGCAGGGAACAGAAGAACATTGCCTCGAGGACGGTTTGTGAAGAAGACAGTTGAACTGAGTCTTACATGGATGAGCACTGTAACCAAAAGAAGGCAAATGGGGAGAGGAGATGTTAGAACTAGCAGAGGCAGGGAGGCGATAAGCATGTAGTGTGTGCAGGGAGCACACAGTTCCCAGTGAGGGAAGGAGCACTTAACGGAGGAGAAAAGGAGGGGGAACCCTGGGATGACAATGGGAAAGGTGGACTGCACAGTGTCTAAACCAGAAGCAGGAAAAGCAGTGAATAACTGCCACATTTCACTCCTGAAGAGTTAGGCCCTAACCCATGGCTGTGAGGAACAGGCTCAGGGAGAATTTAGAAGCTGGCTTAGGAAGAACTGGACTTTTCCACAGGGCAGGATGGGTTGTGTATGTGGGTGGGCGGGTGGCGAGGCAGTTGATCACTCTGGGATTCTGGTTCAGGGATAAGAGGCACTGTGGAATCTTTAGCCAGTACAAGGATTAAGAGAAGAGTATGTCTGAGAAAAGAGCAGAGAGAAGTCTATTTAACTGAGTCTGAGGTGCCTGTGGGACATCCAGCTAAAGGTTCCCAGGGTGTCAGCAAGTCAGGAATCAGAGACCCCACGAGGATGCCAGGACCTGAGACTCGGACACATCACAGTGGCGGTTAAATGGTGGGAGATTACTGAGTGGAATGGACAGTAGTGATTTAAGGTTGGTTGAAAGGACTTGAAGAGAAAGATCAAGAAGGAATGGTTAGAACATAAGAAAGAACTAAAGGGAGTGATGTCACTGAAGCCAAGCAAGCACAGTTCCCAAAAGGAGGGACTGGCCAAACCTTTCAAGTGCAGCAGAGACAGTAGGATGAAGACTGACCGTGTGGATTCAGTGGAGGGGGACAGACACGTCCTGGTACAGCTGGGATTAAATGGTCGAGGCAGAATTTCCTTTCAGTGCTCCCCACCCACCATTCTTGTTTCTTTTCATTCTCTTCCTCTGATAATGCTCAGCATTTCTAATTTGCCTAATTGTACTTAGAAACAGGAAAGGGTCTGGTATCACCTCTTTGTACTTGAGTACAAACTGGCACATCTTCTCTATCCCAACTATCTGTACTTCCTAAAGTGGAAGAAATTCCAGCTGGTCGATGTTTCTCTCTCATCAATGTTTCTGGCTCTCTATCCCTCTCTCTTCTTCTCTGTAAAAATCAACAAAATATATATATATATATATATTTTTTTTTTTTTAAAAGATAACTTGGTAATGGCAATGGGATGGTCAAAGGGGAGATCGATGGTTCTGTCCATTCCTAATAGGTCTCTTTGCTCGCTGCAGGGCTTTCAGCTTAAGCTGGTGGGAGGAATTTTCAGGAATTGTTTCGTACCCAGCAGGCTAGTTTCCTTCCTCTGGCCTCCTTGGGCTAAGCTTAACTCTGGCCTTCCTTGAGCCCTCCAGCCTTACCTCTGCTCAAACCTGCCCAGAGCCAGAGCTGTCTTCCAGTGCCCTTCACTTTCCCTTTGCCACCCCTTTGCTCAGCCACATCTGACAATCCTGTTTCTGTCCCCAGAATTGTCATCATAGCAATGGTTCTCAAATTTTAGTGGGCGGGCTCACATGGGAGCTTGTAAAAACCTTGCCAGCAAAAGTCCCTGATGTACTGTACGGGGATAGGGCCTAGGATCTGCATTTAGACCAGCTTTCCGGGGTTTCTGATGTTGTTGGTCAGTGGACCACACTCTGAGAAATAAGGAGAGAGCGAGCCATATAAATATGCAGTGTAGTTGTGATTATCAGAGTCTAGCAACTCAGCCACTTTGGGCCCTTAACATCCACAATAAAGGAGACTGGTCCCTGGGAAAGGAAAGCTGCAGGAGCGCATTGGGATTTCAGGAGAGAGGGCGTGTCACTGGCTTCTGGGAAGAGCACAGGACTGGTGGGGTGCAGGGACTTAAGAGTCTGGATACTAATACATGAGTGCTAAGGACAGAAATCATCATGCTGGATATACTATGCAGCGAAAAAAAAAAGAAAAATTAGAAATATGTGGTTTGGCCATAGGAAAGGAACAATAATATCGATATCAGGACTGTGACAATCTATGCGTGTCCCTTGCAGAACAAGAATGGTTACATTAAACTGTGTTCTAGTTCAGTTTTCCAACAGTACACATCTATTCACTTTTATAAACTGTACTAAAGGTTATAGGGGAAGATCTGGCTGCGGGTGGTGGGCACACAGTGCAATATAAGACCTTGTAACAAACGCACACCTGAACCCTATATGATTATGTTGATCACTGTCACCCCAATCAATGTAGTAAATATTTTAAAAACTGTAATGACAACTAGATATCATACTTATTTGGAATAGATAGATCGTACAAGGTAATTGTGCCTTTTACCAAATAGGAAAAAACACAAAAATATATATACATTTCATGACATACAAAGTCACCAGAAAGCAGGCCGATTCTTCATAAAAGTATTAGCTACAGGGGCTTTTTAAGACTAGATGTTAGAGGATAAAAATGCAAAGGGCAAGACAAGTTCTTCAAGGAGACTTACTTCAGTGCTGAGGGCTAAAAGATAATTGGAATTCTGAGGGCTATACATCATCTGAGTCAGAGGATGAAATGGGAGATTGGTCTGAACAAAGTTCTTTGCAAAATCTGATGATCTGAAGATTCTTCCTCCAGGACTTCCTCCAGACACCTCTGCTGTTAAAATCACCTGGTTAGGAAGAAGGCAATTCAGATTCAGGGTGTGACACTATGAAAGCTCAGGAGACAGACCTATACCATTTCCACAAGACATCAGCTAAGGAAATTTCAGTTCCAAAAGTAAGAATTATAAAAACAGATTAGTTGGTGCACCCCACTCCTCAAGTGTTTGTCTTATCAAAAAATATTATCTTGAATTGAGCTAGTGCATCATGCCTATGGATGCGAGCCGGTCAGTTTGAGATCAGCCAGTTTGCCAAAGACTAAAATACGAGTGTGTCTTATGAGTGCACACTGTAATGCTAACCAGCTGCCACCTAGGAGTTTGGGTGCATCGTGGACAGAGGCCAAAAAGGAACCAATCCAGTTCTTTTGTGATCAGTATTAAATTGGGCTTTAATTTTAAAGCACAGGAATAGCAAACTAAATGCACGGCTGTGTCTCTCTGGATCATTCCAATATTAAAACCCAAGTGCCCAAGTGTGGCATCAAGCACAGCTCTACACATGCGCGAACAAGTCTCACCTTTCCAGAGTTCTCAGGACCAATAGCCATGCCAAATTCAGTCCGAATGAAGGTGTTATTGATGAGATTTGTAATGTCCTTAAAGTTCTTTCCATAGTCCTCACTGAAAGGAAGAGAAAAAAGACACATTTAGGGTGCAGTGGTCATGGACAATTGAGTTCCTACCCAGCTCCCATCCCCCTTCCCTGACTTCACTGAGGCACTCCCCCTCCCCTGACGAGCTTCATGCCTCAGGGAAGTTGATACCATCCCTCACTCCAGTGTAGACTGCCATCCCTCACTCCACTGTGAATTGGGGAATGGCCCAGACTGAGGCAGTGAGACAAAGGGGGAGGGGGAACTTGGGCTCTTTTAGGAAACAAATTTCCTTAGCCAGTGGCTCTCAACAAAGATGTTTTTGCACAAAAACCCTCCAAGCAACCATTTGGTAGTGTCTGGAGGCATTTTTTATTATCACAAATGCTAGTGGCATCTCATGGGATGAGGCCAGGGATGCTGCTAAACACCCTGCAATGCACAGGACAGTTCCACAACAACACAGAATGATCTGGCCCCAAATGTCCATAGTGCTCAGATCGAGTCCCCAAAGTTGTCGTGTGTTAATGCAAAACAAAAGGTTGCTATAGGATCCTGACACCCTGGGCACAACTTGAATATAAAGCCAACATAAGTGGAGCAGCAGCACCTACTGGACTGTGCTGACCCTGAAGCCTGTCCTTCCTCTGCATTTAGTTATGAGTCATTAATTCCCTGACTAAGTTAGGAGATCTGGGATCTCTGCTAAGTGTAGCCAACGGTCTCCTAACTGATCTATTAATGCAGAATCCTCATGATAAAGCTAAATTGAGTATCAGGAGCCTTCAAGTTTCCCCCAGAGGACACCATCCCTGGGCACAAGTGTCTACTGCATACAGCACACGAAACGCAGGTAGGGGAACAAACGGACTTAATGCCAGTTCTCGGGTTGTTAGAGATTTTCCCAGAAGTTCATTTCAACAATATCTCTGAGAGGTATTCAAGTCCATGTTGAGATTTTGAAAAATACAAGCATAAAAATCACTAGTGTCTAACTCTGGCAGGATTAATACTATGTGCCATTCTCTTAAAAAGCAATCGAGAAAAAAGTGGTAGAATGCAAAATCTTAATATTCATCATATTTGAATGTCCCTCAGTGAAGACCACTGTGTATTGCAAGCTAGCTGCCAAAGATAAATTTGATGTGCAGTGGTCTTCACTGACTTAAAAGATGGTACAATCTGGTAGCAGCCGCCACAAATAATCACAGAAGCAGAGAACATGAGAAATGCGAGGGACTGAAGGGAACATCTTGTCCAACTCCCTCATTTCACAGACGAGGAGGTTCAGGGGAGACAATTTATCAAAAGCCAACCAGTTAATTAAGGGCAAAATTGAAGCTATAATCTAATTCTCTTAACTCTCAGCTCTAAAATAGAGACAACTTGCAATCATGTGTGAGGAGTGTTCCCTTACAGACTGCAGTCTTCCTCTGTTTTGCCAGGGCTGGTGGCCTGGCAGCACCGATCACTCAGAGGAAACTGGAGACACAGAGGGAATTCTCTCAGAGCGTTTGTTCAGGTCCCTGACCCTATGCTAAAGCAAACTACCTGTGACGTGACATTGTCTGAGTAACTTCCTATCTCTTAGCAAGCACACAGAAAATTCCTAGATAAATAAAAGAGGGACAAGGCACCACTTATCCATTGACTCCTCCATCTCCTCCCCACCTTCTTTTGGCTTTGAAGTACAAGAGGAGTTCCTATCTTCCTGACAGCAGGCCAAGAGATGTATAAACAATTCCTGCTCTGCAGGGTAAATGTCAGCAGCAGCTCAGACAACCTTCAAAGGGGCTAGCAACAGCTCGATTATCACCAGCTTACAATTCTCCCCTCCTACCCCATATCCCCCAGGGAACCTCCACAAACCTGTTGGCAAGTCTGTTGGCTTTTTAAGAACTTGGCACAACAAGCACATCCCTCCCTTCAGAGAAAGAAAGCAACGTGAACAAAGCAAAAAGTCATCCACTACAATACTTCAGTACTGTAGCCAGTTAAGCAAATGGAGCACCAGGGATCAATCTGCTGGCATGGAGTGAGGTTCTGGTGAGGCCACCTGGCTGGGCTCAAGGATAAACAGGGCTGGGCAAAAGTAGGTCTACAGTTGAGTGTGGGAAACACCTAGTTTATTCTTGTATTGTTATTTATTAATTACTGTATTATTTTTCACTTGAACAACTGTAAATCTAATTTTGCCCACTCCTATATTTTAACATTTATAGATGTTTTTCTATCAGCATACAACATATATCATGAAGAGGAAATCAATAAAAAACCTTAAAAAATAATTCTACTTTTCAAATTTCAGATGATAATTAACAGAGCAATGAGCAGCAGTCAGATAAAAAGTTAACAAAACCCTAGGAAACCATCTGCTTTAGAAACCAGTCTTTTTAATAATAATTCTATATTTTAATCCTAATCTCTGCTCTTTCTGGTTACCAAAATAAAGGATCACTTTTGCATATATCTGTGGTATAAACATGAATAAGAGTATGCATTTGTCTATAACTCAAGAAAATCGTGGCAGAATATAAATATTTTTGGAATAGAACCTAATACCCCCAAAGGACAAGAAAAACCTAGAAACCATTAAAATAAATGAAAAAATAATCAGCACATGGACTTTTGGTAAGTTGCAGTCAACATTCTTAATGAGATGAAGCACTGGAAATGGGGTTTTATCAGAAGACTCACATGTTGACACTCAACCCGAACACTCAGAGCCTAGAATTACACCCTTGTTTCTGCACTTTTCATATATAGAAACTTGTGACATCAAGCATTTGACCTGCAGACATTTAATGAGAAGTTAACAGTAAGAGAGTCCTACAGTATCTCAGAGAATCTTACATGTTACTTTTCTCAACAATCAAACCAACCCAGATAACCCTATTTGGTCAGCTTTCAAGCCTAACCATTTCTCCATTCTTTTAGTTCATTTTTGCCATGATTAAGTAGCTATAAATTACAATATAAAAACAATAGGTATGACAAAAAAAAAACTCTAAAGAAATTATAATTTTGTAATTTTCACTAATTGGGAAAGTGTATATAGTTGCTTCTCTTATTCTCAGATTCTGTATTTGTGAATATGCCTCTTCACTAAAATTTCTTTGTAACCCACATCAATATTTGTGGCCCTCCCACAGTGATTTGCAGACATACGCAGGGTCACCAGTGCACATGTTCCCAGCTGAGGTCCAACAAGGAGATGAGCTGCTGTCTTATTCCAGCTCTTACACTGTAAATAAGGTCTTCACCATGGTCTATTTAGTATCTCACATTTTGTATTTTTGTGTTTTTAATGAGTGATTTTGCTGTTTAAAATGACCCCCAAGCATAGTGTTGAAGTGCTGTCCAGATTCCCTGAACACAAGAAGGCTTTGATGTCCTTTCGAAGAAAATATGCTATTAGATAAGCTTCTTTCAGACATAAGTTGGTTGTGAGCTCAATGTTAATGAATCAGCAATGTATACTAGGCTGGCTGGTATGACTCAGCAATTGAGCACTGACCCAGAACCAAGAGATCACCGGTGGAATTCCCTGTCAAGGCACATACCCGGTTGTGGGCTCGATCCCCAGTAGGGGGTGTGCAGGAGGCAACCAATCAATGATTCTCTCTCATCATTGATGTTTCTAAGGAGAAGGAGTTCTCCTTTTCTCTATGAAATCAATAAAGAAATATATTTCAAAACAAAACAACAGCAACAAAAAAAAAAACAAAAACAAAGTGATATGCTGTTCAATTGATGAAAGTTAATGTTGTGATCCGAGATTTATAAGAACCTACTCCAAAATTTTCCTCTAGGAACAATGGTTCAGGATTCACTATGAGGACTATGGAGAGCATAACTATTGTGAAGAGTGAGAACTGACTGCATTGAGATTTCCAGCTGAAAGATCAGGTAGGGAGAATTAGCTTATTAAAATGTGCCAAAGGACATAGAACTACAACCAGTGACAGACAAAACTGGCATATTTTCAATCCATAAGTAAACTGAATTCCCAATTATAGTGCAGTATTTCTTTTCACCCCAGCTGTCTAAAGCAGTGAAAACTGAACCAGCACATAACTGAAAAAGCTGTCCTACAAGATGCCCGGAAGGAGCTGGTTACTATACTTTCCTTCAGTATCGGTTGTATACCTTTAAGGTATCCTTTTTTTTTTTTTTTTTTTAATTCTCAGTAACCTGAAAAAATTACATACACTATGGAATAAACTTCAGTGTGAAATCTTTTAGAGATCCTCTTAATAATTTCCAAAATTTGAACAACTCTCAATAGGAAAGAAAAATCACAAATAAAATGGCCCAGTAGTTGTAGTAATTAGGTACAGGATTCTGGTGTCGAATAATGTGTACATGTGCTTCACCAACTTGATCTCACAGTGAAGTTACACTCAAGGGGCCATAGAACAAAAAGGTACAAAACATCTATTGCTGTAAACCAAATTATCACCCTAACTAGGTGGCCTATTTCCTTTTTAGATTAGTATCTGCAAAGTGAGAGGCAAATGCACTTTACAATCTATTAATATTCTTTAACAGAGAACCAAATTTATACCATTCAAACATAAGTCCTTTAAATTGAAGACATTAACATACTATAATATTCATTTTAATCTAATCATGAATGCCTAGGAACTTCAATTATTATTTCCCAAACCTTTCAATAATTTTTTTTCACACCCTAAAGGTCAAGGTCTATGAACTTGGCATGAGTAACAGAAGACAGCTTCCTGCTATTCTCTGGAGCGTCCATGCAGCACAGCTCAGAGCAGGTGGCATGTGACCAGCTGGCTTTATTTGAATCTCAAATAAACCTTTGACCACATGCGATTTAGTGGAGGGAGATAATCCAATAAATAGTCTAATCATTAAAGCTGTGAGAAACCAGAGTTTTCAGAGTGGATTCAGCAGGCTTTTCCTTTATTTCTCACTTGGGCAACCTCAGCATAGACATTGTGATCAAACTGCTCCCTGCCTTTCCTGTGTCTGAAGGAACATGTGCCTCTTGGCTGGTGTGTTCAATGAAATGAGTCACATCAGGCCAGGCCAGGCCAGATGGAGACTGGCATGTTTACAGTTTCCACCTAACCTCTGGAAGATTTTTCCCTTCACACCAGGGAGGAAAGAATTCATATTCAAAATGACCTCGGCAGAAACAAACAACCAAACTGCTGCATGCTCTGCAGAAAAGCACCTCCCCGGGAATACATACTCTACCAGCCACAGAACTGCTCTTCGGTCCAGTGTGTGCGAGGGGTTTCCCACAGGCCAGACAGATTTAGGATGAAAAGGGCTGAGTCAGGTGGTATTTAAACCATTAGGGTTTTGTTTGGGGCAGTCCTAAAGTAAGCACAATATTGAAAAGGAAAAGGATGGGAAAAAGTCATGAAAATACATTGTGCTCCCTATGGGTCTAACTGGGAACCTGTCAAGGCCCAGTGCTGGTCACCCACTTAAATCAGCAACGTAGAGAATTCAGAAGACAAGCAATGAAGTGGCTAAAGCAACAACTCAGGTGATAGTTCAACCTGGAGAAGTGGAGGAGCTTAGTAAATAGCCTTCAAAACATCTAGGGGTTGCCCTGGCTGGTTTAGCTCAGTGTTTAGTGTCAGCCCTCGTGTGTCTCTCTCACATTGATGTTTTTCTCTCTTTCCCTCTTTCCTTGCTCTCTTCTACTCTCTCTAAAGACCAATGGAAATCCTCAGGTGATGATTAAAAAACATCAATAAGAAAAGAGGTTTTCATTTGCTCCTAAAAAATGAAATGGAAATTAGCATCCTTTGGCACATATATGTGTCATATTTATCACAGCAGCATTAGTAATAGTGAAAAATTAGTAGTTGCAACTTAAGTGTCCAAGAGAATAACGACTTAGTAAATTCCATCAATCTAACAAAAATGATGGGTAACTAGCAGAGGGGATATGAAAAATATCATTGTCTGAGCATTAATCAGAGTGGATATGGGTCATACATGACACTTTCATGTTGGCAGGGATGTGCATGCATCTCTAGAAGCCACTGGCACAGAAGGCTTTGAATTCATTTTAACAACTGGCACAGCAATATCAGTACAGTCTGGCTATGTGCCCTCGCTGGCTGCTGGCATGGCAACAGCTAACCCCCACAAGTTCTTACTCCAGCCCAGGCACTGCAAAGCGTAAGTCACAACAGCTCTAAGGTGGTCCCTGTTATCATCTTGCTTTTACAGATGACAAAAAGACTCTGGGAGGCTAAATAACTTGCTCAAGCTCATTCTGCTTGCAAATGATAGTGCTGAGATTCAACCCCAGGACTATTTGTCACCAAAACCTGGCAACTTTACACTGTACCATGTTGCTTCCTAAAACTATGTAACTATATGATATAACATTAAAGGATCAAGCCCACAACCGGAGCATGTGCCTGACCGGGAATCAAACCAGTGACCTCATGGTTCATAGGTCAATGCTCAACTACTGAGCAACACTGGCCAGGCTATAATACACTGCTTTTATTATGAAAGATAATTTGTCAAGAAAAACTATCATAAGGAGAAATTTTATGACAATAAGGTTTCTTAAACACTGGAAAGAGTTATAAAGTTACAGCTTTCTATGCATTTTTTTCCTCCCCAAACAGGATACTTTTCATGTCTGAAATAGTTCAATTACTATTCTAATTGAATAAACAAAATCACCTACAAATTATAGCCCTTTCTAGCACTATGATTCTATAATACATTGTCAATCCTTATAAAAAATTATCAATCTAAAAACTATAGAGAACCCAAGGCATTCATTCATTCAATTAGCATGCACTGCTTGCCTACTACTATGTATCAGTCATTTGGCTAGTTGCTGAGAATCTCAAGTTAGTCAAGAACCTTGGCTTTCTGGAGCTTACAGCGATTCCGAAATGGCAGTTCCTTCTTTGCCTATTTTTAAGTCAACATCACCGTGTTGAAGGGCAGAGAATACTGGCTTCAGGCTCAGAATCAGCAATCAAGGTTACACCTACTAGAAGGGACCACCTCAGAAATTCAATGTGGGCTCACTGTGTCTGGGCCCCTGAGAGAGTACGATGGCTGCTGGGAGATCCCTTGGCCCTGAGAACAGTTTCTATGTCATCTGCTAGGATGCCATATTTTTTGGGGGGTCCCTTGGGGGAAATGAGATGGGTAAAAATGATTGAGAAGACTACCAGCAATTTGAGAGTTAGCTGGTCTTGCATCTTACAGTTAAGGAAAAGAGCCTGCTATTTAACCAAGAACACACACATGTAAAACTTGGTAAATGTCACAGTATGGTTCCAGAACATACACTATTACCATCGTTGCCAGTGTGAACACTATAAGGCACTTTGGTAGTTCTGACCTGAGAACCTCCCTCTGATCTAGAAATAATCTAGATAAATCAGGGCTCAGAGGGTTAGATAAATATATTTACTTGAAAGGTACAAAGTGTTACATAAATATATTTACTTGTAAAGTATAGTGAGGATTGTTACTCCAGGGATATAAATATCATTTTGTGCTTATAAGTAGAAAGATTGCTGAACTCCATGCTACCTTCCCAAAAATAAATATCCATTTAAATTAATAAAACACACACCCCTATACACTTTCCATCTGCCTTTACTGCTTTCCCATTTAGTCAGGTCAACCTAATCTTCTGGGAACTAGATCCCTTTTCATACTTCTTCAGGTTAAGTATATATTACGTGTGCTGAATGTGACAGTTTGTTGAAAATTTAAGATGGCTGAAAGATCTTTTAAATCAACTGTTAGACTCCATCATGCCTAGAAAAATGGGGAACTTACATTCACCATGTATTCAGTCAGTGCCCCAACCATATGCATCTCACCTTCGATATAGCTTGGACTGTCCGAAAGTCATAATTACCAGTGGTACATGGAAGGTAGTCAAGACTAGAATGATCTGGAGAGAGACAAAAGCACACAGTTAAAAAGAAAGATAGCCCAATTACATGCTTACCTGTGATGTGATTAAACCAACATCTGAAAGCCCTGCTTTGCAGTAGCCTATACTGTAGTTAGAAAATCAAGGCTTGCAGTGATTCAAGGTCTCAATTCTTGGTTGAGATGGTCCCATCACCTACACTTGAAGCAGTGAGGCAGTTCTCAGTTCTCCATGAAATTAATTTCTTAAATATTTTTCTAGATAAAAATATGCATGAGGACAAATTCTGATAGATTAGTACAAGAGGGAGTCTCAAATGCCCATGTAACAAGAATTTTGCGATACCAACTATCTTAAATAAATGTATACATCATGGAAATTAGAGCACAACTCAAATTTTAGAAGAAACTGAGACATGCTTAAAGGCATTCTACCAGGAATTTAAAAATTAATCAAAATAATAAATTTATAACTTGCTCTTCAGCTCCAATATTATATTTCTTTGGATTCCTGACATGGCCATGGTGTGCCTCAGTGCTGTGATGCATACATTCATGGAATACCAGAGGGTATGCTCTGCGGTCCTGCCCTTGTTCAGGCAGGATAATAACAGAGCAGCTAACACCACGCCCAGATTCAAGACCTGGGGCCGAAGCATCCAGAGTGCACCTTCTACTGGAAGATTGGCTACACGTTGGAGAATAAGGAGCTGACTGACGCTCCTTCCACTCTCCCATCCTGGCAGCACCTCCTTCGTTGTAGGGAAAGGGACACAGACGGAACTAAACAGCCATGAGCCCCTGGGGCCACAGTCCTTCACCACTGACTGTGGGAAAACGCATCTGGAGGAAAGATGCCAAGACGTGCGATGCACAGCCTTCGGTTTCCACACTGGTCTCCCCGTGTGGATGGATCTCGTTCTCAGCACCCAGCACGTTTCCTTCTTCCTGCTTCTTGTCATCTTGACGCCACGCAGCCACTGAGGACTGAAAAGGTGTCCATCTTCCCATTATGGAAGAGGGTGTTAACAGGATGTTTCCCGTTCTACAGCAACACCAAACCAACCACAGTTTCCTGAGAGTTTGTCCTGGAAACATGTATTTCTGTGTCTGAGGTTGGAGACAGTTTCAGAAAGTAACTGTTAGTGCTTAACTCCCATATCTACATCTTCTTCTTGCTGAGCTGAATTCAGTCTCAAAATATTACTTACCCCGGTGCTATCTCCAACCCAAGACAGGGATACTGTGCCACTGAGATCATCAAATACATGCTGTAAGGGGGGAAAAGAGAAATTCATTTACAAATGACATCTTTCCTTCAGTCATTGACTCCCTTAAATAATTCAGAACACTATTACTTTCAAAGTAATTAAATTCATAATTATAAGGGGACTTGGATTCCCAGAGCAAAATTTGCAGGACAGGATTTAACTACTTAAATTACAAATAACTTGGAGATTTTAATTCTTTCTCACACAAAGTAAGCCAAGCAGATGAGTTTTCTTCACTGCGCCAGATGGGGAGATGGGGTAATCTCATTGCTTTCTCCAACAGAACTAAATATAAATATGTCAAAAGTATTCTTAGGATGCTTTAAAACAAGGGATCACAGCCCACACTGACAGCTATAACTGTAACCAATCAGCATAACATATTTTCCTCAGCAGCCTTCGCAGTACAGGTGCATGGTTAATAACTAGATTCCTTTTGCTCCTAGGCTCTCGCAAAATGACAAGGGACAGAAGCGCGAGCAAATGCCCTTTTTTCACATTTAAAATAGTACTTGATAATGATAATAGTAGTAGTAATAGTAGATATTAGTAGATAATGATAATAGTAGATAGTAGTAGATAATGTAATAATAGTAGATAATGATAGTAGTAAATAAAACAACAACAATAATAATAATGATAATACAACCTTAATAGAGTTGTGAGAGTGAGGAGACAAAAGAAAAGGAAAGCTGGTGTAAGTGTATCCAAAATATGGTAAACATGTTAAAATGCAGTTATATATTTTTTGTTAATCCTCACCCGAGGATATTTTTCTATTGGTTTTTAGAGAGAGTAGAAGGGAGTGAGGGAAGCGGGGGGAGAGAAAGAGGAAGAGAAAGAAAGAGGGAGAAACATCTATGTGAGAGAGACATATTAATTGGTTGCCTTCTGCATATTCCAGGGCCAGGGACTGAACCTACAACTCTGATTCATGCCCTTGATTGCGAATTGAACTCGAGACCCTTTGGTGCTCAGCCAATACTCCAACCACTGAGCCACACCAACCAGGGCTAAAACACAGTAATAGTAATCATTATAGGTGCTTTTGCATTTTAGGTTTCAAATTCTTTCTTTCTCTATCTATAAAATAATATATATCCATTACAGAAAATATAGACAATAGGGAAGTATAATGAATATAAGTCTTTTATAATCCTATCACACAGAGATATTCAAGGCAAACACTATATTTATAATATAATCTTCTAGTCTCTATTGTTGTTGTTTTTGGCTAATAAATAATTCCAAAAAGACCACACTGGCACTTGGTAAATATGTCCAACCACACAAAAATATATACAGAAAGAGTAAAGATCCTTCCTCTTTGTCTGCCACATACTCTCCCCCTCCCCCTCCAGCCACCACCACCACCAAATCCCCACTCCCCAGAGGGGTTAACAGTTTAGTATGCATTTCTACTGTGCGGACAATTCCACTCTCCTCTTAGGAAGACATATATCTTAAGATTTTTAAAACCTTAAGCATGCTCTCTGCCTTTTTGAACATTAAGGAGCGGTTCCTTAGAAGAAGAGGGTATCACTGTGTACTCTCTGGTGTTCCCTGTGCCTGCCACGGTACTTTGCACACTCAATGAGCATTTGTTGAAAATGGTTCTACAGCCTTCCCAAACCACAAGCTCAATCTCAAAATAGCACATGTCTGTAAATGGTGGATGGCAGTCTCCAAGTCACTCAATCTGCCAATCTCAACAGAGACGTCTGAAGAAACAGAACTCAAAACACTGTTTTGCTTATCTTCTAATTTTCTTTGGTGGTCTTCCTGAACAGGCCTCTGAATTTACCTCTGCTATTTCCCCTCCGGACTGTAAGTACATCTGAGGTCAGCAGAATCTCTTGTAAAGTCTCTGCAAGTGGCACAATCAGTGCTGCACAGAGGGCTTGCTCAGTGAACGCTGGTTAACTCTCAAACGCTCAGGCAGAGCTTCTCACAGTCTCTGCAGGACAGAAAGGCTATTCATGCTCCCACACTAGCCAAGCATCTGCGGAAAAGCAGGACTGCTAGAGACATCTGGAACCAGCAGCGTAAAAACGGACACAGTACTGTGTCTTGCAAGATAGTCCGCACAGAGCAAGATGGCATATTCTTTGGAGTGAGGATAGCGTCTGAAATCACATCAATGAGCTCCTTGAGGAGAGTAGAAAGATCCAGAGCTACCACAAGCACGAGACAGACCCCACGGGCTGTCACCTAAACAGAGGCTCTCTCTCCAAGGAAGGCTCTGGTCACAGCAGCTGACCAGGAGAAAAGACAAATCCACCATTGGAGTCCTGCTGTCTTGCTCAGGCAACAACATGGCTTGTCTGGAGCCAAGCAGAGCCTGTACCTCTCACCTTATTACTCCCCTCTCCTGCTGCCCAATCACAGAGGGGGAAGATTCTTAGTTGCCACTAGCAACCTGCAACTTCTCCTAAACAATTCAAAGGACAGTTGACCTCATTCATCATCCAAAGAGTACCTTTGGAAAAGTAGGCCAGACTTATCTATAATAATAAAAGCATAACATGCAAAGCAACCAAAAGTCCAAACAGCAAAATGACCACCACACTATGACACCCACTGGCACCAGGTCAGCCAAGGCGGGTGCAATGCAATTGGTCAGAAGCCGGGCCATCGCCCCATGATTGCCTGCAAAGGGAGGCCCAGGCTATCCATCCGGTGGTGGCACTAAGGCAGGTGAGCGGAGCCTCCCTTTGCAGGGTGGAAGGATGGGGGATGATTGATGGCGGGGCTCCCAGACTGTGAGAAGGCACAGGTGGGCTGAGGTACCCTCTCACCCACCCTCCCCACTCCAGTACATGCATTTCTTGCACTGGGCCTCTAGTTAGCTATAATTGTGGTCTGCTACTCTTAACCCTTTCTCCCTTCCCTTCCCAATAGCCAGTTACATTTCACTTTTGAAAATAAACAAACTCATTGAAAAAGCTCATCCATCTACAGCAAATGCAGCTAATTTTTTATATTTTAGTCTTTAACATTCTAATGGTGAAAGTAAAAGAAAAAAAAATCAGATTTAACAACAGACCAAAACTCAGGTAGAGAGAAAATGTCATGTGGACAGGAGATAAATCCAGCAGAATCGGGGGACCAAGAGCACAGATACAATTCTACCCTGTCCATGGGAGGGTCACGGGTGTCCAGGAAAGGGTGAACAGTCCTGGTCATGGTTAGGGCACAGAATTCACAAGTGTCAGCACAAGGCCATCAATTCTAATGGACAGCATTTATCATATTTAACATACTATACATACTACATTGTGGTGGCATCATAGATATTTCAAAACATGTATTACTTTTAATTATAGCATAAGAACATTGTCCTCACTAGACCTGAAAAAGAACATCCAGTATAGGGGCTAAGCCTATTCATTTTAGCAGGAATATATAAGGTAGCATATAAAAGGCATTCAATAAATATTAAATTCATTTTCTTTAAGAAAATGTGAAGCTCTGAAAAGGAGGAGGATGAAAAGATAAAGCCAGACCCAGATAATTTCCCCACGACAGAAATGAGTCTAAATACGAAAAGTTCTATTCTAAGAAGACTTCTGCTTCTGGCCAAGAGAGACCAGCAGGGACCCGACTAACCTTCCCACCGGAAACAACTGAAAACACAAACTATATGAAATCATCGTTTTCAAGACACTGGACTTCGAGGCAACAAAATACAATAATCCCTGACAGACAAAAAAACAAAACAAGGGGTCCCTCTGCCCTAGGGGACTGTCTGGAGAGTGTCCAGGACACAGTGCTGGGAAGAGGAGAGCCCAGATGTTGAAGAAATGAGCTGGTGGTCTGAGGAGGACATGGAGGCTATCGCCACCAAACACCTGTAGTTACCACCAACTCCATACACAGAGTCAGAAATTGGTGAAGATGCCCCGGACCCATCAAAGCATTTAGAGGCACTGGTTGGGAGTAGACTACATAGATGAGAAAGAAGAATAAAGGTCTGTCTGCACACTGAGGTGTAAGCAGGGATTGCAGAGGTCGGAGCATACAGAAGCAAGAGCAAGATGGCGGGTGGAAGCACAAACATATGTAAGGATTTTGAAAATTTTCAAAGAGTTACAAATAAACTATATTAATATCGCCAACTAGTAAAGTGTTGAGTATACAGTAGATGCTATTAAGTACTTGTTAAGTAATTAATAACTTAACAAGTACTTCTGTTTGAAATACCCAAGAAAGCTGAGAGGAGGCCACAGGATCACTGACTCAAACAGGCATGGTTTCCAGTGGTAGATACAGTTGAACATAATCACCCAATAAGTTAGGGCTCTATTGCTCTAATCAAGGCAAAGTAAGAGGAATAAAAGGAATAGGAACAAAGGACAAAGTTTATGGCTCCAGAAAACTGAAAGGCAGATTAATCTCTCCAGGAAGAGAAAACTCCAAATCTCTAACACAATACAACCAATGAATATCCCATACTATTACAACCCAGAACATATAAAACATTCAGGAGTCAAGTCCAGCCCACAGAAGGCAAGAGTGATGTCTGCCTCAAGCACTGTTGCAGAATGATGTAATGTGTTAGCTGTTGGTATACATGACCACTGGAATGGAGAAGGTGGGAAGGTTTGCAGCATGTTTTATTTCTGGGAACAATAGCTGAATTGCAAGAGAGACAGATTATTTAGCATAAAGAGAACATGATCTGACCAGTACATATTGCTACGAGTCAGCCAAATGTATATTTAGAAGGTCAAAATTAAAAAACCACACACACATGTAAATATGCTATTTGTGTGACTAACAAGCCTAAAGCCAGTACGCAGAGGGGACACATGGTAAACACATAATTTAGATTACTTAATCACATCCTAGGGAAGGAAGCTCAGAAATCAGGAAGTTGAAGACTAGCTATGTAACATGTCACCTGATCTATGAGGAAGCTTATGCACATCTAGAGAGATTGATTAATCCGCTAGCACAGGAAGTGACAGGCAAAGTCCAAGACTGGGTGAGGTTTCTTT